CGGAAGAGGTGTCAGAAAAAAGCAATATAAAATTATCATCATGACATGTATATTTATAGTAAGTATATATCGCAAAACATACAAAACTTATTTTCGAAATAAAATTTACCTTTAATAGAGCTTTACCATCCTTGTCCTTATCTTCGGGTTTCAGCACAATTCCCAATTTTTGCAAAAGAGTATCTGCCTCCTCTTTCTTATAATTCATGATACTATCGAAAACCTAGAAATAAATTTAATTTTTGAAACTTTTAGGTGATACTAGATCATAATTGAATTTAGATAACAAAAGACTAAGAGAGTGCTTACCTTATAAATCGGATCTAAAACGTACATGCAGAAGGATCGTTTATTATCGGTCTCCTTCTGTTTGCTCCATTTCTTGGTCTTGGGATTAAAGAAAGACTCGCCCCACAGTCTGTTCATAAGTTTCACTACGTCGATCTTGAATTTCTCAGCATACATCTCAGAGAATTGTTTTAGAGTAAATGCCCAGCCATGGAGCCCCGAACCAAAACCTACAGAGCCCTTACTGGGATCTACCTGTTTTACAAATATATTATATTTAAATAGACACTTTGTAGGTATAATAATAGTTATCATCCAAAAGTGAAAATAGATTTATTGTACATACTCTAACTTCACCCATAGGACCATCATCATCAGAGTACGTCGCAATAATAACGTTAACATTTTCAACAATACGTTGGAAAGTTTGATAGAGATCTTCGCTATCCAACTGGAGTTCTAACAGTGCACGGTCCATTTTGTTCATAAATAAAACAGGTTTGATACGCTCTGCGATCGCCTGGCGCAGTACAGTTTCGGTTTGTACACATACACCTAGAAAGAAACAAGAAAATAATTATAAGTGTTTTTCTCTCATTTCGAAATAAAAACATATATTATGATGTTAAAATCTTTGTAAAAATTGTATTTCACAAATATATTCTCCAAAATCATATGCTAACATTATAAGAAAATAAAGGATTTGTAGCACTTGTGTCGTAGCATATTAGTAACGGACATAAGGATAGAGGTCCACTAACAGCGTTTAAACACATTTACTCTTTACTTTTCTTCCATTGCACTGTCAACACTGTCAATGTATATCGATCAGTTGCAAGTGCAAACCAAACAACATACTGTAGAGTAACCCTTGTGTGCTGGAAGATCAATCTATTCAATTGTGCTAAAGAAACCAATATAGAAATAGTAAATAAAAAAAAAAAAAAAAAAAAAAAATTATATAAAACACATACCAGATACACAATCAACGACAACGAGAGCTCCATCAGTGACACGAAGGGCGGCTGTGACTTCACTTGAAAAATCTACATGTCCAGGTGAATCAATCAAATTAATTAAAAAGCCCTTTTCATCTTTGTCACGTTGATCGGGATTTGTGATAAAGACTAAATCTTTCTCTTCAAGTTCGAAGAACATGGAAATAGCGCTAGAAGGAAAGCAGCGAATGATAATAATGAGCAATATAAGATCTAAAGATTGATCGCCATATAATAGTGCAAAGAGGTGTGACTTACGTAGATTTAATCGTGATACAACGCTCTTGCTCATCCTTGCGCGTATCGGTAAACCGGGTTTCACCGGCCTTAGCACCGGCGATAATGCCGGCCTTAGATACAAGGGAGTCGGTCAGAGTTGATTTTCCGTGATCGACGTGTGCAATGACGGACATATTTCTGATGTTCTTTTTTTTGTCCATCATGGAACGGATCTCGTCTACTGTAAAGTTCACCTGCAACAATATATTTCCACGATTAAAACATTTCTCATTTCTATGCAAAAAGAAGTTACAGATTAATCTACACCAAAATTAATTCAAATTTATCTCAATATAATGCAATTTATATATAAATTTATAAATGTATAATATATAAAATAATGAAAAAATAATCAATGTGCTTTGTTCGCTATATATAATATACATCTCCTTATACAATTTTATTGCAACATATTGCAATATTGAAAAAATATAGGTTATTCCCTAATTATACAAAAAATATTCTTTTCACAGTACACAAAATATTAAATCATGGTTTAATCCTTATATGATAGCAAAGTCAAATGGTTTTGCATAGGACTTTAATAATTATTAATTTTGAATATAATCTGTATATCTGACAAAATATTTAATATCCACGATAGCTTTTATATTAATATTTGAGAAAATAACAGTAATTTTATTGAATGCAATAGAATGTATATGTATAGTAACATGAAAGAAATGAGCAATTATAATTGTTATTTTCTCATTTCAGAAGAAAAACGTATATTATGATGTTAAAGTCCTTGTAAAAATTGTATTTTACAGATATATTCTCCGAAATAGTATGCTAACATTATAAGAAAATAAAGGATTTGTAGCACTTGCGTCGTAGCATATTAGTAATGGACATAAGGATAGAGGTCCACTAACAGCGTTTAAACACATTTACTCTTTACTTTTCTTCCATTGCACTGTCAACACTGTCAATGTATATCAATCAGTTGCAGATGCAAACCAAACGACATACTATAGAGTAACCCTTGTGTGCCGGAAGATCAATCTGTTCAATTGTACCAAAGAAACCAATATACGAATAGTAAATAAAAATTAAAAAAATAAAAATAAAAAAAAACATAAGTAACACATACCAGATACACAAGCTAATGATAAAGTAAAAAGAAAAATGTACTTCTAAAAATAAAACGACAGCATATAAGTTGTTTTTAAGCGTAATCTATATAAGAAAATCTACAAAAACAGAAATAATATTCATGTATAATTTATATTCTGAATTGGTATTGATAAAAAGAATTATTTACACACTTCAAAATAAAAATAAAATAATCATACACGATTAAATAATATGATAAAATATAGCGCAATAAAAGTGCAATAGTAGCTTGAAAAGAGAGAAAAAATAAATTTAAGAAGCAAATTAAAACAGTTCATTGTGAAATAAGAAAAAGCAGCAAAAAATTTCACGATTGACACAATAGATATAAAAGAAAAATGCTAAAAGAGAAGAGGGACTAAAATCGAAATTGAAATTAAGCAGATAGATTAAGCGAAAAATAAATCGGAACATAATAGCAAGATGATATAAATGAAGAATATAGTGTCGAAATTAATAAATGTTTAACGTTATATTTCCTCGCTTCGAGTAGACGCACATTATCTCGCGCGCAGATTCTCGATTAGCGTCATCGCTAAAGTCGACCAAGATCTCTCGAGGGAAAGAAAGATCAAAGCACGTTGCCTCGCATGTCGACACGAGGCTGCACCATGACACGTCGACGAGAGAGTGAGAGAGAGAGCGTAGCGATAAAATATTTCTGCTCATATAGCGGAGATGAAATTTTCGCGTCTCTCTCGTGATATCTAACTCCGGTATGCGATCCAGACTCTCCAGTCTGGATATCTCCCTACATATAGCGTCCCGTCTATCTCGCTACCTCGACGCGGGTATTGGGAATTTTTTTCTCACGATACATTTTTCTACGCTTGTGGGCAGATCCATCGATCAACATAGAGAGTCGCGTGGCCGAAAATCTCGAGGGAAGCATCACGCTAGGCGCTCGAGCACGTTGCTCGACAGTCACCATGACACGTTGCGAGTTGCGAGCGAAACATATTTCCGCTCGGAACACGTCGCGGACGTGACGCTGGCGATGAAATTTTTTTCCAGACTCGAGGATGTTCCCCGCGACGTTTGCGATCCGCGTGATGCGACTCGGCGTGCCCGAAAACCCGGGATATTGGGCGAGATTCCACGCGCGACAAAATTGCGCAATCCTGAGTAATCGTTCATTCTCCGTTCACGCGAGCGAGACGGTAAGAGAGGACGGACTCTCTTGCGGTTCCCTGCGCTTTCCGAGCTCGAGGTCGCGAGCGAGAACGGCGAGGGAGATCGCGATCCCGGGGAGAAAAATATTCGCGGCCGCGCGTCTCCGGGGATCGCGCGACCGCAATCGCGATGGTGGCATCGTGACGCGGCTACGTACCATCTTGGATGTTGTCCGATTGCTGACGGCCTGGTTCGAAATATACGTGCACCAACAATGGCGAACTCCCTCGGAAAGAACTGGCTATCCGCCGTGCACCCGAACGCCGCCTCTTATGAGTGGCGAAAGCGCCGCGGTGCGGCAGCGTGCGGCCCCTCGCCGCGTCGGCCAATCGGATCGCGGCGCGATGCGCGCAGGCGCGCTCCTCCACGCGAGATTTTAAATTCTCGCAAGTCCAGTGTGCGTGTGGACATTCGTTCTTTCGCGCTCTTTCATTTAATTAATATTGTAACCTACAATTTTTTCTTTATTTATTCGTCAATGTGGGAAATGTGAGAAAGTGTCAATCAACGAGCAAACTGGATACATCGACACACATCAGTTGGTGAGAAATATTTTGCGATATTTAATGATAATCTCCCACTTTTTTCCAAAAATTTGCCGGGAACACTTATCGTATAACGTGATAGTGATGATAAAAGATTAGTTCTATTATTTGCTTCAGAATGGAGACATATATAGAAGTCTTAACTGATGATCGATCAATTACAGTCGAAAATTTTCATCAATCTAATATCTCTTTTCTCGAGAATGCTCGATTTAAGTTTTATTTGCAATCTAAAGTGTTCGATATTCGACATATGATAATTTATATTTAATAAAAAATGTAAATTCTAACACATTTTCGTTCTTGAAAAACGAACTCTCTGATTATCGAATATCTGATGCAATGCGAATCTTCCATAATCTCCTATCGTCTTGCATTAAGTGTATTTAGTGCAACTGCTCATTGTGAGCAGCTGCTCGTGATTGGTGTATAGCTTTACATTTATCCAAAATCTAAAAGATAAACCAATCATGAGTAACCGTTCACTGTGCGTCCAATGAACGACGTTATATTAAATGCAACCATTGCTTGCATTGCATTCAACAGGATTAATTGAGTGGAGTTTTGGAACGCAGTTCAAAAAGCACTCTTGCACTTACTGCCATCTAGATAGTAAAATGTTTTGAAAAATATCGCGTCGATTATAATATATATTTGCGAACCGAATTATGATTCCTCCTGAGAAGATTTCGCAACGTAAGTTCTTCTTTTCCCCTCCAAAAAATAAAATTTATTTTATAAAATTTTTTTTTATTTATTTCAATTACAAAGTCACTCTGTGTTGTGTAAACTTTTTAATCGCACGATCAATTATTTTCGCTAAGATAATATCAATTAACAGAAGAATCCGCGAACTGGAGTAATGATAATTTGTTTGTATATATACATTATGTATTCTTGTAGATAAAATTAACTTTTATCTAAGAAATATAACGTGTATTTTATACATGCCTAATTCCAACACTATTTATTAACAGTATCTAATAACATTTGTGTTCACGCAAAGTACACGTCAAGTGTTGCATATATATATTTGAGTCTCCTAGCTAGAGACTATATTACTTTTAAACGAGAAAACAAGAGGAATCGTTAACTCGAATTACGTAAATGCAAACCTAAATCAAAGTAAGTTAATAAATAGAACTATACAAATCCATATGAACACTCTACTGTTACAAAAGTGGCGAGCTAATATATTATAATATTTAGTCTTCATATAAAAACACAGATGAGAATCACCTCTAAAAAAAGATATTAGCGATTTGTTATATATATTCTACCGCTTGTTCATAGTTAGATCTATATCCACCCAAAATCGAACTTCTAAAATTAAACAAAAAGAGCAAATCGCAGTGCAATGGAGTCTCAACGATTTCCTTTACAGCTATTCTCGTGAATGTTCACGCGATCCGGATTAAAGGTTCTTCCACAACGCTTACAAGGCACCAGCTGGCTCAAATGCGTCATCCAATTGGCCTCTGCCGTCGCCGCCTGATCAAACATCATATTTCCCGTGCTGGAATCTTCTGCGAACAGTGAAGTCGTCATTGCCGATTGTATCGTATCTTGAAAAATGCAGGAAAAATCTTGGATAGGTACTTGAAGAATTATATCGAAAATAAATCGGGAAACAATAGTAATTAATCTGTATGATTGCTACAAATCGAATCGCCTCAATCTTGTAACAAATATTAACGTCGAAGCAAATTCTATAGAAAATTTAAATTTTTAAAAGCCTGCGAATCCTATATTTTCATTGCGACTCTTGGATTTTAAAATTCTAATCTCTTAATTACATTTTTGTATACTTATTGTATATGAAATTAAGAGGTACAAGAAAAGCGAAAAGTTCTTTTTGCCACGTTTTTTTGTCATGAATTATTATTCATCGTAGGTGGCACTTTTAACCGAGAATAATCTGCGAAGCGTGTATAATAAATTAGGACTGTACCCACTTCCATTCCACGGCGGTGCATAAACGGACATTACGGATTCATATATCATACATGCACGCGTAATTGCTTCGGTAACCGATTGATTCACTATATAAGTACTTGAGCGTTACGTACTACTCTTGACCCTGACAGCGGACAGAATAAATCTCAAGGTAAGAGACAGAAATATATGCGAAAGGGCAAATGTGTATATCGAAGAAATACTCTTATGAACTTCGAAAAAATCAATTTCAAATATTATTTATTATCACTTTTTAAGGCATTTATTCGCCTTGATATTGTATAGAAAGAGAATAAAATTTATATATGTTTAAAAAACATATGCCCCTTTCTCTATATATTAAACATTTAATCGTAACTTTTATCAAGCAATTAATATATTTTTCCCGTTATTTCCTGAAAGCTTAATTTTTCATATTTAAATAGAAAATGCTGCGAATGTGTTTCGTTTTTTTCAATACACGATAATATGCGATAATACTAATAATAATATAAAAAGCGATATAAAAATATATTTTTTTGGTTAAATCATGCGTATCTTTTGTTCAAATATCAAACTCTTTTTTTAAGTGTACCTATGTACTTTAACTGCACGTTTTTCCGATGATTGTTTTTGTGACGCTTTATTTCCATGTTATATTTACACATATATGCATGAGAATATTATCGAGACGAGAACATTGACTTACGTATGTATATGACGTCCGGTTTTTGCGGCTCCTTTCTTCTTCGGGCCGGTGACAGTTTGTCATTCTCGGCGTGCCATTTCTTCAGGCACTGCGGCTCGTGAATGGCAATACTGGAGGATCCGAAATCTCTACCACAAATGTAACACGTGATGGTCCTTTTTTGTGATAAATCCTAAAATCAAGCGGTTTATGCGTCTTTTTCTCTCTTCTTCTCTTCTCCTCTTTTACTAAACGTTTCATCCGAAAAACGCTACTTGCACGTTATTTTTTATTAAAATTGTAATAGCAAGTTCTGTTTTATTTTGTACACAATACAACCGCATACACTTTGCGTAAGGTAAGAATATTTTATTTCACAAATGACAAAACAGAATCGTTTATACAGAGTACTACACAGGAACAAGTTGTTTTAAATATTAGAATTATTGAAAAAAGGCTAATTACTAACAATAAGAACAAGATTTATTCGCACAAAACATATATATTATAAGATATAACACAAGATCGATTATAAAAATTTAAGTGTGCGCGCGTGCGCGCTTTTTTCTGTAAGGACTCACCGGATATATCGATGGTGAACCTTCCTGGTTTTTGGCCGATTTTTGCCTCTGAAGGGTCAGCTGATCTTTCTGCTCGCTCGCCAAATCGTTTTGCATCTGCTGCCATCGTCTACTACATTGAGGCTCATGGATCTTGATGCTTCTGGTGCCGAAATTTCGTCCACAAATCCGACAGGGAACAGTTGGTGGCACAACATTGCGCCCAGTCGCTGGTGTGGCCAGTCGTTCGTTGTTCTAGAAAAACACGGTGTCGATGAGAAAGAAATAAAATATAAAAATGGTTTAGTAAAAGCTTAATACCTTGGGAGTAGCCTTGCAACTTCTCTCATGGATCGGCAGTCGTTCCGGCAAAAATGTCCTTCCACACTTTGCGCATGGAACTAATTGCTCCTGAAAGAAAATCCAAGTGATTGTGTCTTTGATCATTCTTTTTCAAAAAAGAAAAGATGCCAAGTTCTCGCCTATGTTTAAAACATTTTTATAAAAAAAATACTCTCAAATAAAATACACAATCATATATTGCATTTTATTGCATTTATATATATAACCATTTTTATACTCGCGCGGTAAAAGAATCCAAATGTTCTCATATCGTTGATTATTTACAGAAATCGCGACAATCCAGTATTTAAATATATATTATATTTTATATAAAGAAATAAATTATTTCACACATTAATAGAAATGCTGGTGATCAAATTACGAAATAACCCGAGAACAATCATTTATTTTAAAAAAATTTCTTTTGTTTGCTTGTAATTACTCTTGGATGGATTTGAAAATATTAAGATTTGCCAATCTAATAATCAATCTATCATTCGTCGCATGCAGAATTCTGATTTCTTACGCAAATTCTTGTTAATCGTCGAAGCCCGCTTGAACGGTTCTCATTTGGTATGCGTTCGTGCAAGTTAGATGCATATGAGATGTTAAAGAGCAATCTTTAATATTCCACAGGATTACGCATTCGAATTACAAACGGCACGATACACGATACATATTTTTATTATGATTTATAACTCAATTCTAGACACAAAGCGAGTTCAATATATTTCAAAATTTTAATATTGATTTCTAATTTTGATTCTCCAATTTCATAAAAGCGAATTCTTTCAGATCGATTTTAACTTGCGGTGAGAGGTGTTTCTGAGAGCTTCTGAATCTCCGAGTGCGCATCCTATAAATCGTTTCTTACATCATCGGGCAACGAAGATTGTGTCGCCGTCCGACAAGATTAATGAAGCGCGGACACCGACGTCCGCTCAAGCGAAAACAGCGCAGTACGCTTCTCGCGTAAAGATAATCGCCTCGTAATGTCTTATTAACACTGCTATTCTTAATTAAAAGGAGTTAACTACCTGACTCTGTTCCCAAGCGGATGCATTCCAATCACTGTGTTCGACACCGACCACGGGTCTTTGCGGCCTGGGTCGTCTTTGAGACGGAGGCAGCGAATTATTCTCGCGTTCCCATTTCTATAATCAAAATATTTGCATTTAAGTAAAAAGAAAAAGTTACATAATAACACATTGTTATTGAACAAGTATTAGGTTGATGCAAAAGCTCGTCTTGTTTTTTGTTTTTTGTTTTTATTAATAAAAGAAGGGGACGAACTTTTGCATCAACCCAATAAATATATATAGTATACAGTGTACGTTAACATATATACATATGAATGCAATAATATAAAAAGAAAAATAATAATTATTCAATAATATTAATAATTATTATTATTCTTAATACAAAAATAATCAATTAATTTTATTATTATTAAAAAATTCTTGAAGAAAAGAAGAAATTCTTTCTTTTAATAAAAACGCTCAAACAAATTTTTGCACGACTTATGCGACGATTTATGCACGACATGCAGCTGTTGTATCGATTTTACATTGCAGCACATTGGCATTGCTATTGCGGTTGACATACAACGTATTCCTTAATGCCTGTCATTTCAAAATATATATATACCTATCGAGTTAGAGGTGACTGCGTAAATGTAAATTTTGTTGATCGATTACGAGAATCGCGATGCGAACGAACGACGAGATAAGGAGAGGATAACATTGCTGCGTCAGTCGGTCGATCGAAGACACCCCGTATAAGAGAATGCGCAAATTGGCGATCGCTTATAGTGCGTTATAGTTACCTGTACTATAGGACATCAGTTACCTGTGCACGAATCTGCATCTGTGAGAACTTAATGCCGTACAACGCGTCGCGCCATCGATTTTGCGAAAGGGCCTTGACTTATTACACGCGCGCATTATCGAGACGCTATTATATTACAAACTTTCTGCGTCGCTTCCGCGATGAAATTCCGACGTCACACGTGAAGAGGAATTTATTCATTGTCAGCTAATCTACGGCAATTCCTCGATTAATCGCTTTAATTCTATTTCAAGAGGTTTAATTAAGCTATATGATTTGTCAATTATGGAAGAGATCGAACTGAGATTTCTGATTTATAAAAGTAAATGCTTAATTATATGACTTGCGCGATGTGTTAAGCTTTATGAAGTTTCTTATCTTCTCAATTAAACTGAATTTACGAAAAATTTTATCACACATTAATGTATTATAAATTCATGCAATTATTATTAATTATTGTTAATAATAATCATAAATTATTGAATAATTATTATTATAATAGTTATTAATGATAATTAATAATAAATAATAGGCGTTAATTATTAATTAATCTTAATATTTATTATTAATTATTATTAATAATTATTAATTATAATGTTTAGGATGTGACAATTGAAGCCATTTACCTCCATGCACTTGGGCTCGTGTATGGGAAAACTGGCGGTGCCGAATTCCCGGCCGCAGATGTAGCACGTGACCGTCTTGGGACCCCGTTTCATCGATGCGGACGACGACCTGACCTGCTGGCTCGAGTCCTGGGAAGGACGATCCTGAGAAACGACCGGTATCGTCTCAATCTCGTCCGGCTTGTTTCTGTTTCGATCGCTGCGAAAGTTCAACGCCACCGGCTTCTGGATAGACTTAGGCACCGGTGGCACTACACACTTCGGCTTCATCGTCGACGTCGAGGTCGGGATGTCTTTGATCTTGGTCTGACTGCCCTTCGGATGACTGTGAAATCTCTCCGGCTGATCCGGACGTCCGCAGGTCTTGCAGGGTTCCGGAGCGCTCTTCGCTGTCGATGCGGCGGCGGTGAAGATTTCCAAATCGCTTGGCAGACCAGCCCGCGAATTCTTCTTCTTCTTCACCGTGGATAGCACTTTGAGAGAGCCGTTTCTAATCGTACAGAGTATATATAAATATACAAGTATTGCGATTTTTAATTTAATCATCAGATGCGAATACAGTATCTAATTGAGAGATCTTTAAATTGACACCATAATTATTTTTCGAGGATATAATTCACAATTTTTTTTTCAAGTTTCAATGACCATTAAATGTGAACATTCGATATCTTTTATATATATATAGAATAATTGATTTATATTATTAATGTATTTTTTACAAAGTTAAAGTTTGAAAACATTCGAAAGAAATGTTTATAAGTAAGGGAGCGTACAACTGTAAAAGATACATTATTATTTTTGACGTATCCACATGGAAATTTTTGAGAAATTTTTGAGAAATTTTCTCATTATTATCTCCTCAAGAAAAATAAATAAATAATTTTTATTCAATTTCCTATTTTCGCGAAAATACACGGCTCTATTAATAAATCAGATCACCGACCTATTATTGTTATCGTCGAGTTTCCTGACATCGGGGTTTCGTGTCGCGATGCCTATGGGTGACGTAATCTTTTGACTTCCGTTAGGCGATCGCAATCGGTCGATCTCCTCCATCTGACGATCTGTAGCGATCCGCGGTTCGCGAATCTGCTCGAAACTCCGTCGCTGATGGCGCGTCACTGGAGGAGCGTCTTCGGAGCGGGACGAACAAGTGGTGGTCGTCGTCGCGGCAGCGACGGCGGCGGCGCTCCGGCGGCGTCGTCGTCGTGTCGCCGATGGCGACGATGGCACCAGTAACAACGATGATGATGACGATGACGATGACGCCGTCGTGTCCCCGTTGATCGACTTGTCGGTGTTCGCAGCCGGTTGATGGAACCGCGTCATCGAGTTGCACAGCAGCTCCTTACTGAGCAGCGACATGTCGAGCTTGTCCACGAGCGCGGGGTCCAGCACGCTCGGTCGCGAGAGATTCGCCGTTTTCGGCCTCTCCGGCTCTTCCGCGTTCACGCGCTTCATCTTGGGCGGCCAGGTGCCGGTGTTCGCCGCATTTCTCGGCGTTATCCTCCCGCCGTCCGTTCTCTTGGTCGCACCTATTTAAACGATCTATCGTTGATAAGGTGTACCGATGTCGTTACACGCGAATGTATATTCAGTTAATATCCATTAGAGAAACTATAATTATTGTAAAAAATTTATATAATTGTTTTTCTTTCTTTTAAATACATCAGATTAATACTGGAATTATTAAATATTTAATAATTTAATGTGTGGAAATTAGATATATCGGAAAATACTAAACTTGAAAATATCAAAAAATATACTAGGAATAATAATAATAATAATATTAATAAGTAATATTTATTTCAAAATAAAATTATTTTTTTTAATAAAATCATTTCAATTATGATAAAATTTTGTTTCGAAAATAAATATTGATTTTTTTAATGGATTGACATTTATTTTTGTGAATCGATATAAAAAAATCAGAATTCATCTATTTCAGAGATAGATTAACAGAAAAAATATTTCTAATTTATTTATAAAATATTGCATAAAAATGATATTTTTTGTTATCAATCTGTTATCAATTAACCAAAAAGATTTATATTCTATAAATTCTGAACCCTATTTTCAACATTCTGTATAAGAAATATTTACAATATCTATTAGATAATGTCAATCGAGTACTTTCGCTTATAACTATGATAATTGTATTAAAAATTAATTTTTTGAATAATTTATCAGCTTATTAATATGCATATCGATAAATTTGCGATAAAATATGCAATAAAACACACGATGAAAGCACATTACCTTTCAAAAACTTCAAATCATCTTTTATTATGAGAAACGTTTTCTCCGACAGAAACTCGCACGTTCCTTTCTTCCACTTCATTTTATCGATTTCGTGATCTTACAAATCGCGGGTATCAGAGTTATTCGCGCGCTGTTCGTGTCGCAAAGCGAGTATTATCACATTTCCCGTCACGACAAATTTTCTTCTCCATCGAATTGCACCAATATCTTTACATTGATTTATGACAAGTGAAACCACAATTAAAGAATTAAAATTTATTAATCAACCTCCCCTTCAATTTAATCGGTCAGAAATCAAATTTTATTACAAAATTTATCTCATCAACGACGTGTGTTTCGGAAAGCTTTCGCATTGGAAAGGAAACATTTCCCGATGCCCGCTAAATTCTGCTCGAGCGATCTTTCGCTTCTTCACGCAAACGGGTGTCGTTTCTCTTCGAATCCGAGTTACACGGGCTTGACGTCACAAATATAGTAGTATTTTTCCACCCGATGAACACTGGCGATAAGCACGCGTTCCAGTATTACAATCTGTTATACTGATTATCGGAATGACACAATCATCCACTTAATAATTGTAATTAATTTAACGCTGAAGTAATTAATTACTTTACACCACTCGCGTTATAAATGCAAGAACGTGGCTCTTTTTTTTGTTTTACAAATCGCACACACGTAACACGGATACGTGAACAATGTCCGCGTTATCATCCACGCACAAACTTCCAATCATGTATTTTAATTGTGCGTGAATATAAAGCGGAAGTCACAAATTCACCCGTTGACGCGCAGCTCCTCGCCGTCGAATTACGCGGCGCACTGCGAGGCGAGGCTTTACCTTGCCATTAGCTTCGCACAGCTTTTACCTTCCTATACGTATGAGTGTGCGGTCGACTGTGTAACAGTATACAGGTGGCAGAGGGAAAATCGATCCAACGACCACCGTTTAAAACGAATATACATCACGCTCGGGTGTGTTCTCGTCATCGCGCAGGAAATCATTCGCGAGCGAGCGATAAAAGTACACGGAAATCACGAAGGGAACCATGCGCTTTGCTATTATAAAACGACAACGTATAGCCGGTTCCATAAAGCAAAAAAACATCCTCTCTATATTTCTATATATATATATAAATCTTTTCTATATTCATCTTTTTTATATAAATACAATATTAAAAAATCTAATCATATAGCGTTTTACTATAATAAAAATGATACAATATATACAAGTTTTCATCCACATAAAATTATACAATATATACAAGTTTTCACCCACATAAAATTATGGATATTATTCACATAAAATTATAGATATTAAATAATGATACATATATTTTATATTAACGGCGATATCTATATCTCTTGAAATGAAACCACAGCTGAAAGATGTTGTTATGAAACTGACATCTGAATCCGCGCTTATACGAATACTCCCATTCCCGATTGACGATCTTGAATGCGATGTCCTCATAAGGCGGGCCCGCGTGAAATCGCAGAATAGCAAAGTCCTTATTGTCGGCGCAAGGTGTCTGAAAATTAAACATCAAAGATTAACTATCCAAACATCCGGTGATACCGATTAAATTAAAATATTTAAATAATTTTATTTCCGCAAGACAAAGAGTATATATATATATCTTACCAGAAAGTATTCCGGGGTAGTATTTTTGTCGATGAGATCCGGATAAAAGATGTTGAACTTGTAGCCTTGTACAATCTTGGGCGGCGGATTGTCCATGTCGTAGTGCGTTTGATTGTACTTGTTCCACTCGAAGCCGGTGTGTACGCGATTGAAGTAACGCGGCTTACGTGGTCGATACTTGTCGGACCAGAGATAAATCTGCGCTTCCAGTGACGATTCGACGCTAAATTCCGCTTCATCTAAGCCCATACCTTTGCGTGCCTCCCGGTGCATTGCTTGCTCCTCGCTGGTTAGTACATTCTGAATTTTTCTGCCGGTGCTGAGCACCTGCTGTCTCGCGTATTCCAGACGCTGACTGTCCTCGTCCTCCTGTGTGACGAGCGTACCTGGCTCGAGTTGCGAATAAGGTATATAACTCGGCGAGTAGCCGCCCGCTTCATATTCGCGAAAGGATTCGAATAACAGATCATCGGCAGCATTAGTTTCCTGATTATCACTGTAACACATGACATAATAATTTACCTTATTATCATCGAGAAACAAAATCAAATTTTAATAAATTTAAAAAAGAGTCACTGAAATTAATGTGAGGGAAAGAACACTTACTCTTGATTATTTTCATTCTTCTCGATTGCTGTACTCGTGGAAGGTTCATCCTGTTTAATCAAAGACTCATTCTCCTGCGCTTGCAAGCTCTCAGCCTCGTTCTCCGCTCTGGCCACACCTTGTTCGGCGATTAAAACCTCCAGCTTTTTACGCAAGTTCTCTTGATGTCGATCTCTAAGTCGGGCCCTTGCCATATGAGCTATATGTTTAATACTTGGCGTGAATAACATGCATTATTATTTGCAGTTTTTTAATATGTTTCTAAATTATTCATTATATCTCTATTACCTTTCAGTTGGGACAACAAGCTTTCCCAGTATCCAATATCGACGCCTTCTGGCTTTCCCGTAATTTTTACTTGAATTTGCAACTGTAAAGCTTCCAACTGTGTCGCAGTTTTGCCCTTAAAGATAGTTGTAACATCTTTGGCGACTGATTCATGAATTCCTTCTCTTCTACCAACAGCTGAAAAAAGAAATATATAATAATAATATATATAATAATATAGCACGAATAAACAATAAGAACAAGCAGAAAAAGAAGAAAGAAAAAAGAATCGCTCTCTTACCAACTTCGTATTCCGTTCGTTCCAGTTTTCTGAGCTTATGCAATTCATCCTCCACAATCACCGTTATATCGTTCCAGTAATCTAAATTTTTGCCCCTTTCCAGTTCCTTGTAAACCTTTATGTCCTCTATGAGATCCTCCAGATCTTTCACTTGCAAACCTCGTAAGTATGTGTATGGCTCATGCATTTCTACTGCATCGACCTCCTCCTCCGCGCTGATGTACTTTGCAAGAAGATCGATAGGTTTTGCACGACCGTCCTGAATTCTAATGCGAGATCTCAATCTAGCCTGCTCAAGGTGAAATTGATCTTCCTGCCGAGCCCATTGCTCTAATTGAGCAGCTTCCTTGCCCCTCTGCAACATAGTCATTTCTTCCTCCCTCTGTTGTCGCTCTAATTCTCTCTCCTGTCTCCTCTTTTTGACCTTCTCCAACTCTCTCTTATTCTCCTCCTGTTTGTATCTATTATGCATTTCTAATTCTTCTCTACCGACACCAAGTAAACCCTCTTTCCCCAATTTTTTCGACCACACGAAGGTGGAGAGAATATTGCCATCCCCAAATGGATTATCCGTATTCGTGTAATGTAAATAATCATTGTCCCAGCCCATTCTCTCCTTACGTCTGCGTTCCTTGGCTTCCTTCTTTTTTAGACGACGTAGGCGCTTCTCTTCTGGTGTTTCTGTCGCTTTCATCAATTCTTTTTGACGTTTACGTTCTTCAATCTGCTTCTGTCGTTGTTTTTGCAGTTTCTCTAACAATTTTGTGGAATTCGAAGATGAATCTGTAGACGAGCCGTTGCTAAGTTTACTCGAATCGGACGATGAAGACGACGAGGACAAGGATGACGATGAAGACGAGTCCCTGAAGGAAAAATATGTTAATATAGGCAGATATAGGTAATTGTTCAGTGGCCATAGAGCATACTCATGTCGCTATATTTCGTCGGTATGAGGTTTTGTAACTTAAATAGTCGTCAACTTTTAATATCTCGTTTCGCGGGGCAAAGCGACAATTTTCTCTGCTATATTCTATCGTTTTGTGCAAGAACACGTCGAATAAGCATAAGTTTGTCGATATTTGAGGTGAGGCCGCTAAACTGAACAATTACCAAAAGAATAAAGATTTATTTATTCTGATTGGTTAATGCAATACTTCGAAGCATTTCTAGAAGCGTCTTCCCGATCGCAGCCGTTATAAAACAAAGATTAAGAAAATTTCGAAAGATAATTTTAAATTTCAAAAAATAACTTAAAATTGACGAAGAAACCTACCTCTTTCGACTTTTATGCTTGGAAGATTTCTTCCGCGATTCGCGACGCGACCGAGAATCTTCGTCCTTTGATTTCTTATACCTCTCGTTGGACTTTTCCGAACGTTTGTGCCCCGACTTCGATCTCCTGGATTCCACGTGATCGCGATCCCTTCGCGACGTTCGATCCTTACGTCCGTGATCGTCGTCGTATTCCTTCCTCCTCGATTTGCGATCACCGTCGCGCGAGTATCTCTCCATTGTGCGACGAGGCAAGGAAATTATTCTAGTCAATCAAAAACGCTCACGCGCTTAACCTCACTCTCTTCCACGAACGATGCGCTTGGAAAGCGCGCCATCTTGCTGCAGCCGTGACGCAAAACGCAGCTGATACCGCGACTACGTGAGTCGACAGACGGAGCCTGGATAATCGACGAGAATCGACGAAGGGGAATCGTTCCGCATCGCCGACGACGACGATATTCTTGCCGATCGGTCAAAATATTTTTCTTGCGCGAGGATATTGAAGGACGTCGCGAGAAACGCGTCGTCACGGCTCCTCGAAAATCTCTCTTGACTCGCGCAGTGAGGCTGCCTCCGCCGCTCGCATGCCCGGCCGGCATATCCGTTAAACTTTCAAATTAGACAGCGTATGCACGCTAGCGCGAGTGGTCTTTTCGAAAGTTTCGCCCCGTGTGTATGTATGAGTTCTATCCCCTCGCGAATTCGGGTCTCTCTCTCTCTCTCTCTTTCTCTCTCTCGCGGTGATCTCGCGAAATCCGTCGAGCCTAGTCGAAGGATACGATGTCGCACATCTACTATTCGAGCAAATACTACGACGATCAGTACGAGTACAGGTGGGTACGCTACACACAAAGTCTTTTATGGACCCCCTTTCGTCTTCTAGACGAGATCCCCGCTGACCTCGGTTCCTCGCGAGATTTGACGTATCTACGTAATTTTGAGCCTGAGACGACGTCTCTCTGCGACTGATTCATCCTCTTGTTTCCTATCGTCATCTTTTTCTTCCTCGTCATTTTCATCTTCTTCGTCTTCCTCGTCAGCGGATGTGTTGAAGCACATTGTTTAAATGGCCGAATCGAGGAAGTTTGCGCTGTCAATTTGCTTTGTTGTCGTTAAAGCTCGTGTCGTCCAGCCCAAATTAGCATTCTTCGATCTGTTGTTTTTTTTTTATATTTAAATGGATCCAACACGATCCAAGATTCTTTGACCTTCATAGTGCAAGAGTTTGCTTTCGGATGAGAGAGAAATAGTACTATATATGTATTACCTGTTTCGCAATTTGTCGTTTTAATGCGAGAAATATCTTCTGTTAGAAGGATGACATATGTGTATAAAAGAAATAAGAAAAGTAATAATACTACTGATATATATTCGCAATTTTCTTTTTTTTTTTTCGTTTTCCTTTGATTAAATTATAAAAAATTGATACAAGTTAGAAAAATATATATTAATTATACGTATTGCATTACGATTATAATATTTGAAACTAAAAAATTATGGAAGAAAAGCTAAATATTGTATTTTTTGAAACTAAAAAATTATGGAAGAAAAGCTAAATATTGTATTTTTTGTTTAATTGTACTAATTTTTAAAAATGGCGTATAAAATAGAATTGTATATTTGTGTGTGGATGTTTACTGAATCTGAAATTTTTTGTCATCTGATGCACAATGCCATGATTAATTTTATGGGAGGACAAATTGATAAGAATTTATTTTTGTAAATTAATGAATTTTATTTTTATTTGAATTGGTAAATCATTCTTTCAAATTAAAAAAAAATATTGAAAATTGTTTCATTTTTTCTTCCGAATATATAAATATGTTATATAAATCTCTATAAAAAGATTTATTAGATCTATCATGTATATTTCTTATCTTTATTTTTTTCTCATGTACTTATTATTTTTTTATTTTTTTTTTCTTATCCTTTATTTTTTCTTTTTCTCATAAATTCTGTACAGGCATGTTGTTTTGCCGAAAGAAATGGTAAAACTGGTGCCGAGAACTCATCTGCTGTCTGAGCAGGAACGGAGAGCCATTGGAGTCCAGCAAAGTCAAGGATGGGTGCATTATATGATTCATGAACCTGGTATGCATTTAATACATTATTCTAATATATCATTAACGCACAATTAATAAGAAATTTGTTTTAACCGAGTGAATGATTTTTCAGAACCACACATTCTGTTGTTCAAAAGAAAAATAACGACACCTCCAGAGCTCAGAGAGGAAGAAAATTGAATGTGGAGAAATTATTATACTATTAGCTTGTAAATAACAATTCAGATTATGTTCATATTTATACTGGGACATATTTGTGATGGTAAAGCAATCTTACTTTCTCTCCCTCTCTCTTTTTCTGTCTTCTCTCTTTAACATCACAATGCACAACATGATATCGAATAAACTTTCTGTAGATTTGATTTAAGGAAACCCCGCAAATCAGTTGTACACAAAGCGATTTAGTTAAATTCCACAGAATAATATGTTCATGATCTTCGTGTTTATAATTACTTTGCTTAGTCATTCATAAAAAAATGTCAAGCAAGTATGCTGTATATATGTCTATAAAGTATCTTAGTTTTTAAACATCGCTTTGTCATAGCTCTCATCTTTTTACACTAGAACTCAAGAATGAAAGTTATGTTATGATGTATTGACTCTGACAGTGTGTGACATACTCTCTAGTTTTCCTCAAAGATTGTAATTTTGAAGCTAAGTAATGTATAAGAATTTACTCTTGTGATCATAGAGTGCCTTTTAGGAGATTAATCTAAAAATTTTAGTTTAGGATTAACATTTCATTAAGTTTAACAAAAGTTTTAACGTAATTACAGAAAAAGTGTAAACACATGTTCTATGTAACTCATTCGTTTCAGTTTTAGTATGTCGACTTTAATTCAAGTTTTATTTTTATTTTCACCTTTATTTTTGCATTTTCTCGTTCTAATTAATATTGTATATGATTTATATACCTTGAAAAAAGTGTATAATCAGATACATTAGTTCATACTCGAAAAAGAATGTACACAGATAACAAAATCATTATTCATGTAATACACGGATTCTTACACCCGAACTTCAGGTATACTTAGCGATTTTGGTTTACTTTTTATAAGAAAAACGAAAAAGATGTATTACTAATATGTTAAATAAATGTTTACATTTATGAACACATAAACAATATTACCTTATATTTAACAATATTTCCTTTACATTCCTTATGTATTCATAAATTTGACAAAAACATATATTTAAATGCAGATATTTATAAGTTATATTCAAGAGTTCAATTTATTTCACATATATCTATAGTCGCGATTTTTCGGTAACACTTTTGTAGTTCTTTCCAAGGGTTAATAGAATTTGACACCTTGATTATCATCAAATAAAATTAGTTCTGCTTTTCTAGCAACCTCCAGTGTCCTCAATGATCTTATTAACACTTCTGTGTCGAGACCATGGAATTCTATAAATTGAAATATATTTAAGAGTAATTGATCGCTATGTAATATTAGTATAACAAGCAATATACTTGACAATATGAATCGTATGATGTACCTTGCTCAATCGTGTCTTCCCCTTGCGTCAGTTCGAATAATGTGCACACAGATCCAATAAAACCGTTCTCCTGTGCCCAATTATATATTATATCACCCCATTCCTCTAAAGTGTGCCAATAAACCAACCATCTCTGTTTGCTTTTATCCAAAGGAGATGCGTTTCCTGATTTTCCCAATTCTTCCAGTATTATTAACACAGTTTCAGATGGCAATCTTCCTATTATTATTATTCTGTTAAGGAACTCTTGACAGCAAATTTGAATAAACTATTGTAAATAACATTATTATTAAGCAACTATTACAAGAGAAAGTAAATAAACAAATTATTAAATATATAAGCAAAATATAGAAATTGTATTGAATAGAATAAAATTATATAGGGGAGAATAATTGTTTTTCGAAATATAACGAATAAAAAGGATACTATTTATATTGACGTTATTGAACAGAGGATTTGTGTGCACTTCTCGCACGTCCACGATGGCCTGCTTTGTGATACGATAGTACTCGAGTACTAAATTCTTCCAGGCCGCTATTTGCTTAGCTCTAGTATCCGCATGAGGTTGAAGTCTGTAACGATAAAGTGAAATCATGGAAGATAAAAAAAAAAATGTCGAGTATTTTTCTAATTTATATCATTTTGCAGAACATACAATCGTAAAGCAACATACTTTCGTTTTCAATTTAGATTCTTAACCTATGCGACTTTCATCGGAACACATATTTTGCGTTGAACATCTTGTCAAGCTTAGAGTTTAATGCCGTTGTGTTCTAATTTCATTGTGCAATCGTATGATTTTCGCAACGATACTCACGTAAAGAACGGAGGGAAACTGTATTGCCACGGCCACTCAATTTCTGCCATTGTTGATGATCAATTGTCATGGGACAACAATCGTGCGTACATATGCTATCTGGGATCTTGCACATATGTATTATTTCAGAAGAAATAATTTAGCATCTCGAGAAAATGTTTCTATATATACATATATAATTTACCGAAAATAAAATCTTTCACATTATCACGCGCGGACAATATAAAAGTAAGATTGTTCATTATATTTTTAATCCGCTTCAGAGATTTACACATTAGCTATTTTGAAGAGATTTCAGTGTATATAATTATTTTTAAATTAGATTTTCTCTTCTTTCTTTTCCTCTCAGACTCGTCATCTTCTGCATAGTCTTAAGCTAGCGAATGTGTGGATTCTTTTCGCAATATAATGTACAAATCATTAAACAGGATAATATTAATTTTATGTTGCTTAATGCTTCCTTTTTTCTTCTGTGCAACATGATAAAAATAATGAGTTAGTTTTGTTCAGAAATTAATATTTTTATCAATTATATTTATAAAGCTTTAATTGATGTTTCAGTTTGAGCGATACCAGCAGCATAAAGTACTTTTTTATCCAGCTTCGTTGCATTGCTAATTTACATTTGTTTTGCATCATATATTTTGTATAAGTCTGAGTAAAATATTGCAGCTAGTGTTTCTTCTCATGCTATAATAATTGATCATGTGGCTAACGCTGTATTTTTTCAAAGCAGACATCATTTCCAAATAGCTTACAAACATGAAATGTATTTGTATACATAAACATCATTATTATTTGTCTCTTTTTTTTCTTATGATTTATATATTTCTGTTAAATATTGTACTGTAAAATAATTGGAGAAAAAAACATTGCTTGAGCAAAAGGAATGTTTGCAATTGGAAAGGTAAGATAACGAATTCTTGATTGGCCATGTTATGTTTATCATATTATGGTTTTCCTCTTAAATGAAGCGTGATGTGTTCTATACGTATACATGTGTAATCATACATATACACATCTATGTAACAAAATTTATTGGAATATATTTTTTAAATAAATGTTTGATATATAGTTTTTGTCTTGTAAAATGCTACTAAACATTGAAAAAAGAACAAAAAACCGCAACATATTTCGTGCGTGATGATTGTATATAATAAAATGTGTTTCAGTATTTCTGTTACATTTATCCAGGATATCCCGATCACACTTCCTTCAATTTTCATAAGGAGAGTGAAATCAAATTTATAATAAATAAATTTAAGTTTTCACAGTTTATGCGAAATATCAATGATAAATTACTTTATGTTGGTAATTGATATTACAATTTAAATTGTGTGCAAAATATATTGTCAGAATATAATCAAAAAAATTGCGTCTAATTGTAATTCCAAAAATTGCAATTCCAAACATATCCAATATATCAATTTTAATTCTCATGGTTCAAAGTACGAAAATTTAAGCTTGTAAAGATTGGCAAAGTATTAGAAGAATATTATCAAGTATAAGAATTCTAACTAAAATTCCAAAATAACCATTGCTCCAAGAATTCCTATAAAGATTTTCAAGTGTTAATTTAATATTTGCAGAGCTAGAATTCATCTACACAGTTTATTTTCATAAAAAAGATACACTGTACAATACAGAATTTACAAAATTTCCGGAATCACAATATACTGAAAGTATCTCGGAAAATGTGTAATTCTGTAATATAAAAACTTTATTTTCTTTTCTAGCGTTTCGAAAATTCATTCGCGATATATATACAGGGTGTCCCCAATTTGTCAAAACTTTAAGAGCGTGTAGGGGACCGATAAACTAAGACAAAAAATCCTTTAGAGATTTGCTCGCTTTTGCTTCTTTTTGAAGAAAATCGCAAAAAATGAAACAAATAATTTTCACCAAAAAACTTAAAACAACACTAAAATTATTAGATTTATCAAAAAGTATTATAAAAAAATATAATCGATTTCTTCTATTCTATGATCCTCTATTCTAGGTTTTTCCTTTGTTTAAGATCTGAGTAAGATTTTTCTGTTGTCCTATTCTTCTATTGCTCACATTTGTCATGTAACCATGCTAAAGTGAGAAAGTAAAAGACAGATCATGTAATATTTTTATTTTGCGCGCGCATTAGGATAAAAGCAGCGACTAAAAGAAAATTATAGAATAGAGGAATATTCGATCTCTCTTTCGATTACATAGACATAATATAAATAGACCTATATTTACAATTTAATTTAAGGACCAACTAAAAAAAAGTAGAGAAGATATACTTGCACAGTAAGATCATAGAAGTGATCTCTAGCAGAATTGAAATTTGACATATTCATATGATTGAACATTCAACTGTTCTAGTTATTCTTATTTTTTTTCATTAACTTTCAGCTATATGTTCCCTCTTTTTACTTGTTTTTATATCATTGATGCTTATTTGTTTATACTATGTCTATGGTCCCGATGATACTAGGATAGAGGAAATCGACTGTACATCGATACTCTACCTAGGAAAAAGAACTATATTTCAGATAGCGAAAGGTTAACCAATTTGAATTTTAATAAAAATACAAACTGCCGGCATATATATGAATATATATGGGAACCAAAATATGTGCCGATAAATTTATCGCGCAATTTATCAACTTGGTGTTTCACGATTCGATTCCTTGTCGTAGATCGATTCCGTTTAATGATAGTTATGAAATCAATTTATTTGATGTGACAAATAACAATAAAAGTTTTAATTGCGTGTTGTCGGAGACCTCGCGCAGGTTTAAAAATATAAAATCTATTTTTTAGCTGAACTGGCTGCACTAATTCAGAGTTTATCTTTTTCTCTCCACATTGGAAGGAGAAAGATAAACTCTGAATTAGAGCAGCCAGTTTAGCTATAAAGAACAGTTTTATGGTCAATCACTATGCGCGCGCGGGGCTATACTCTAGTCATTATATCATTAGGCTTTGAAGAATCGTACAACACGAACGACATACTGCTTGCATATCGGACACTCGGACATTTGTTTACCGCAGTTTATACAGCAGGCCATATGGCCGCATTCTAAAATTACGCATTCGATTGGAGCGTCCCAACAAATTTTACACAATTCTTCCTCGCTGAGTTTTTCTACGTCTGTAATAATTCATTTATGATAAAAGACAATGTAATGTTCTTCAAAGTAACACAAATTGGTAAAATATATATAATTATATATACACACAGACACACACACACATACATTAATAATATAATATAATTAATTTTACCTTGTCTAGATTGTTTGTACTCCTGCCATAATCTGGATACTCTGTTCAGCAACTCCTGCCTTTCTAGGCAGCCTTTATAATCTACCCGATTTGTACTCAACAGATTTTTTAATTGTTTAACATTTAGATACTCTAGTTCCGACGCCTCCTTTATATCCGACAATTGTACTCTATCCGACCACTGCAAAAAGAAAACAGAATTATGAAGACAAATGTATATGAATGTATACATTGGTTTGTGAATGTTGTCTACCATACCGTGGGAATTTCTGTAACCATATCCGATTTTTTCTCGTTTGATGCTTCGGAAACTTCCTCATGCTCGGTAATTAGCGGCTCCGACGTAATATTGGGCTCGACTGGACTGTTATCAGTTTCCGACACTTCCTGTATTTCAACGTTACTACTTTTCGTCGGTCCCTCTTCGGGCGATTCGCTATCGCTAACTGGCACGCTAATGATCGGGCTACTGTGACTGCTCTCGCTTGGCTCCTCCGCCATTTCGATGTCTTCGCTTCTTGTGGGTTGTGCTTGTGCCTGCACATCTTCGCGCGGTTCGTCATTTGCAGTACTGACATTTGGTGTGTGTTCCGATCTATTTAAAGAGGAATATACTCTAGAACCATACACATATTCGTATTATTTTTAAAATATTATCTCGTAAAATGTGTTTTAATTCATTTAAGACTTTTATAGAGAATTAAAAATATTTTTATGCCATTCTCTTCATCTCTTTTATAAAATTAATGGTAAAGTAATCGTGACAACTGAAGCTATAAATCTGCTTAATATATATACCTAACAAATAGATACATATATAGATACTTCCTGTATAATTATTTCTTTTAAACTTTTCAAAACAAGTTATTTATTAGATCGTATTGTAATACTTTACTGTACCTTAACTCAATGATAATCAGTGGCATATATATCAATAAAACTTTTTTTGCATGAAAGAATTGTATCAACAAATATTGATTTATCAAGAGATGTGTTTCAAAATTTAACATATAAAAAAAAAATATTTAAGTCATAAAAACATAATTCAATATTAAAATAAAGTAAATCGAAAAAATTAGCTTTCAAATTGTTAAAGTGTCAGTACTTGTACATGCTGCTATGTAAAATGTAACATACAGTGGCTCTTCGACAGCGTTTTGCATCCCGATGCTTGTACTATAGTCAGTACTAGAGCAAGGATCAGTTCCGTTAGCAAAGAGCATTAGTAAATGTACCAAGTCTTCTTTCTCTGAAAAATCAAAGTATGGTCCGTGAAACTCTTCGTCAGTGCATGTTCAATCTTCATTTCAATGGAAACTCTAAATACTTAATACTATACATGCATTAATCATTGTATTGAATGTGCATTCTCATAAATTCAAAATATATTGAATTCTAAACTAATTTTATGAGAAACTTTGAATATTGTATTCATAGAAACAAAGAGATTTAATAAATATATAACAGATATGTTTATTATATGGATAGATGGACAGATCAACATTGGAAACATTCAAATATTAAATATTCAGACCATACTGAATTTGAGAGAAATCCGTTTATAAATCCCTCTCTTGGTTTATTTTATGCTATGAAAAATTTCTCAAATTTTTTCATGGGTTAGTGTTTATTAAGAGGATGTATTTTGCACAGAACTATATGATTTTATTGATAGGCAACATTAATGCACATACCAACACATCCCCTGACAGAGACCTTCTTTGCCACAAGGTACTGACGCAAATCCTTGGAGCGTATTTGCCTGATCTGATTCCTTACAAGTGGTCTCCTCGATAGCACGCCACAGCTGTCGCAGGTAAATACTTTGTCCAGTCGTTTGATCACGCATTCGGAACAGAAGTGCCTCAGACAATCCGCACATTGTTTCTATAAATATATTATACTAAAAATATAGATAGAAGCTTGTATCATATATAATAATTTTTATCTTTCGAGCAGAGAATTATGACCTAATTCAAAGATGCAAAAAATTTCTGGATATTTTACTTTAAATCCTTAAGAAAACCTTGGAAGATCTTGGAGATATTTAACATCAAGATGTTAATTACTAAGTTATTTAGCGGATAAAGAATTGTAATTTGCGATGACATATATGCGACACGTATCGAAAGAGACGCATCTTCTTTCGTCATCCAAAAAATGATATGCGTAGTTTCGACGCGTTGGTCGAAATTTAGTCGAATCGTCGTCTCAGGTCCAAGTATGCGATGAGAAAACACCGTAAGAGAAGCCTGTTCACTCACTTTTCTCTTGAATAAATTGAACTTTGCACTGCAAGCCTCGCAAGCCATCTCGCTGGAGGGATCCCCGGAGCCGCCCGTTCGTCGGCCTGAAAATAAGAAATTTCGCCAACGCTCCGTAAGATTAGAAAGCAACGAGAATAAAGGTCGTATGATACATTCTACATAAATCTACGATAGAGAGAATGAATGCTATACACACGCACGTCGTAGAGGCGACATAATAGGGAGCGTAACCTTTTTTAAATCGATATCGCGACCACAATCGCAACTACGGTGTACTGTTATCGGTCCAGTATGGCCGATGACGACGATGCCGCGAGTCGCGGACGAAAAACGAAAGCGCCGATCGGTGAGAAATGTCCCTAAACGTCGTCGTCGTCGTCGTCGTCGTTGTCGTCGTCGTTGTATTCTTCTTGTCCTTCTTCTTCCTTTCTTCTCGCGCTCGACTTGTTGAGCTACTACTCTTGTAATCAAACTGAGAAATTTCGAATGTCATAATATAATGCATCGACTGATCATATGACACGTTCCTCCAAGTGCCAAACTTTTGTGCAAATTGCGATAACATCTTTCTCTCTCTTCTCTTATCGTTTAATAATATAAAATCTTTTCTTATAGCCTCTGTAATAAATCTCCTATTATTATATCGAGAATATCGGTGCACGATATGGGGCTATTGATATATATAAAATCAGATTTTTTTTATTCAATTTCGCCCTATCGTGAAAATGTATCTAATTAAAATTTAATTTCTCTAATAAATTTATACTGTGTTTTATGTGATTATATATCTCATCAGTTTTATATATATTGATACAAGATTTAAATATATCTTTGAGTAAACTATAATATTGAATTCTAGCGTTATATTTTCACTTACCAATTATAAGCGCAAGCATATGTATTATTTATAATAAAATATAGTATAGATGTGTTTCATCTTAACATTTATACGTTTTCTAAACTGCTTTACATGATTTTAATAGATATAATTTGAACATACAATATAAAAACAGTATAGATACAATTTTAAAAAATCTGCGCGTCGTCGGCGCTTTCTGAATTATAATTTTCTTTAAAGTTCTGTGAGATAGCGTTAAAATTATATAAAATACGCATTAAAATTGCGACTTGATGTGTCAAGTCATTTGTGACATCTAATTTACATTAGTTAATTTAATTTACTTTATTAATTTAATTTATTATTTAATCTAATTTACATCTGTTATTGGAAAAATGGATATAATAAAAAAATAATATGGATTATTCGTGTTTCTATATTTTTATTGTGTTATAATTTATAAAGATACATGTAACACTAAACGTAAAATATAGACCCCTTTTTTTTCTATTTTAATCATTAAATGCAAACAACATAAAATATGCAGACGCATACATAAATATTTTATAATTAAAATGATTTTAAAAGCGACATACGAGTTTATGATTTAAAAATCTAAAAGTCAGATAATCATTTACATTAATTAGCAAAAGAGGAGTATAAACATTTTATCACATTTTGAGATTGACTTATTCAGAGTATTCAATAAATAAATTCTTTTTTGTTACCTATAGTGCTATATACTAAAACTTAACTTCACAATTTTAGTGCTTCGATTAAACAATAAAATAATTTTAAAAGCTCTTTGTTATATAACATTAGATATAATGATATATATAATCTGGCATATTTGTATAAAATCTAGAAATTTTTTGCTTTCTGAATTTATATATATAAGAAAATACCTTATTTGTGTGTGATAAAATAAGAAAAACTATATGCTACGTACTTAATAAAATAAAATTTTAATGCAAATTTTTTTATAATTTTACTTTAACTTATTACCTTGAATATAATTGTATTTATAAGTCTTTAGAGAGATTTTGATTAATTTAATTCTCTCATTCTCTTATAACCACATATTTATACAGTATGTTAAATATATTTCTGAGAAAATTAATATGTTTAATTAACATTAATTTCTTTGTATATATAAATCTCGATGTTATTCCTTCAATGCTTAAAAAAATTGCCGATTTAAACAAATATAAAATAAATAAATTTATTCTACAAATTTGAATTTTTCCTTCGAAAAAGATTGATTTATGAAGTTTTCATTTTCTTTCTAATATATATATGTATCGGTATCGTTTTGCATTTAAATGCTATGTTTATATGATCAAATATCAAATTGATTTGATATATAAACATAGCATTTAAATGCAAAACGATACCGAAGGGATTCTCATTTCGAGAATTGATTCTCGAAATGAGAATCTATTACACGGTATATATATATATATACGTATATGTTTGTGTGTGTGTATGTATGTGTGTGTGGGTGTACGAATGTAACAATCTCTCTCTCTATTAGCGATGATAAAAATATCATTATAAATTGTTTCAATTAATGACTAACGAGTCGCACAAATCCGCCCGCGGATTGAATTATACCACAACATTGTGTTTAGTCGATTATCTCGATACTTTCATCAGGTACATCTTCTTCTTGCGCGTCCCTTAAATGATGTTTACACACACAATCATTATATACGGCTTTATCATTACAATATCATATTAATCACAACGTTATATATAATATCATATATAGTATTTTTCTGACAAATATTATTCGATATATATTTTTGTTGTCAAATATATAAACGATCTAAGTCACGTTTTGAATTTGTAAAAAAAAGTTAAAATAACTTACTTCGCTTTTATAAAAAAATTCTTTTTCTAACTTACTAAATTTTATACTTAACTTTACTGAAATATATATTATAACTAGCAAAATGCGTTTAAAAGATATTTTTTTCGTCAACAAAGAATATCTACGAGTTATATGGAAACTTTCACATTCAGTTTTTGGATAACAGAGTTCTAAAAATTAACTTCCTTTATACTTGACAAAAACAATATATATTACATAAGTATATAAATTGTATTTTATAAATTGAATCATATAAATTAAATCGCCTGTAATATGTGTGACATTGCAAAGTAAATAATACGCTATTATTTAAAATATAACGAATAGAATAAAATAATTTGCATTCTCGTATATCTTATCATATAAGATCTAACAGTAAGATATTCTGATGCATAAATACAGATCGTGTTTAAGCCTTTAAGCAGCTGTTTTGTCGCTTAAGGGGGTGCTCAAATATTTTATCTAATTTAATTATATTTGGCAATTAATGTAACTACTATATGTGTGTGTGTGTGTGTGTATCTCAAAAATATTATACTGATATAATAATATAAAACTGATATATTGGTAAAATTTATAAAATATTATTTGTTATTTTTATGTGTAATATATATGTAATTTTTATTTCTATCACACACACACAACACACACACGCACACACACACGCACACACGCACACACACATACACACACGTTAAATATAATTAAATCATAATAGAGGTATTACTGATTAATATTTTTAAAATATTTGATGAGACATTAACAAATTTTTTAATTCATAGTTTGAAAACTATGAATGTATTTTTCACTGTATGTATATATTTAAGAAAAAAGAGGAACCCCTTTTTATTAAAAAAAATATACGTTATCTGATTTTTTTCTATTTTAAGGCACGTGCTGTAATGTTAATACAAATGAGGTATGTGTATTTAATATATGAAGATATCTGAGTTACAAGCGATTTTTGATAAAATAAATAATTTACTTTTATTTACACTGTAAATAAAAGTCAGGATATTATTGCAACAGCGTACTTCTGTGACTAAATCGAGTCAAAAAGTCCTTCATCATTTTATCTAGCGAACAGTCATCGAGATATCGTGAGGTAAGAATTGAAAAATTTGGCGGCGCGGCGTATCAATGTAATCTTCATAACATTCGATTAAAGCTTAAAAATGTTTCTTAATACATACTATATATAGCATAAGTCTTATAATTAAATTATAAATTATAACAACGTTAACAAAATATTTACCTTACAGTGTACCTAGACTTTTAAGTCTAGATCATGATATGTACCTAGGTCATAATATGTACCTAGACTTCTAAGCATACATACATACATGTATATACATATACAAACATACATACATACATACATATAGATCAATGCGAGCCGGCAACACTTAGATGTTTCTGCGATATAACGTGCGCTTGAAATATATTTTTTTTTATTTGCCATATATTTTATATCAGTTTTACATTATAATACCTTAAGTAGTGCAAAACTGATTTGGATTCTCTCTCTTTTATTAAAATTCTCTTCAATAAAATATTGACTAAAAGTGAAATAGCAGTTCAGGTACATAGTTGTTGTGAGTTCAAATTGGTTGTTCAATACAAATTCTATCTTCCAATAGCCAGTAATTTCCAACAAATATACATCTATGCCTGCCGGTACGCATTGTCCTGTAAATTCTTGCTTAGAAGTAGACAAATTACGCGTATTTCGCATTTTCATTATTTCGAAATCGATCCTTGAGAAATGTCATCCTGTTAAAATACACATTCCTAATTATTTGGCTTTTTATATTTAGCAAATGTACGTATCTATTAATCAAACTATTTAAGTAGTAGGTATTTATTCTAAGGCACCATATTATCAATACACTTGTCGTTAAAAGACGCGGCGCGCGAGCGTATTAACTATCAACAAAGTTGTCGATAGAATCGAAAGTCCCAAATCTGAGGCTCTTTCGTACAACATTAACAAGTGAAAAAAGTCTTCAATGATATTTAAAAAAAAAAAAAAAGATCTCGCGTAGGCTGGCATATCACGCTTACATGTGAAGGTTCTGCTGATAACCTTCGACTTCGTTGTACATTTTCTTGATTGGATCCTTTGGCAAATAGTTGTTGACCGCCGGCGCAACTTTATTGTTGCCAATGCCGTTGGCTAGATGCGCTGCGCCATTCTGCAGCATATGCACCGTTCCGTTTACAGTGCCGTTTTGATAAATGTGACCGTTCTGATGAATATGCTTCATATTGTTCAATATGCCGTTAGAGATGGCACCTACTCCTATAAACAAAAGAAAATAAATATGAGGATATGTTAGCGCTAATACAAGATGTGATGCACGCATATATATATTAATGATTATTATTTATTATTGATACATTTTTGCTGAGGAAAAATCATCTCCAAATGAATCTGCTATTAGGTGGTGCAATAGGTCTGGGAAACCCTATATATATATTTATATTAAATAATTATACCTTGAGCGGTAATTCCATTTATCTTTTTCGTCGCGTTGATCCCGTTTCCAATGTGATTAGACACGCCGTTGACCATCCGCTTGATAACATTGTTAGATGTGGCACGTTCAGTTTGATCGGTCACGGCGTGTGTTCCGTTTGGGTGTCCTTCGATTGTCGGCATATCTGTATCACGGAGATTGTTCTCTTCCTCCTTGCGACGTGCTCGATGCATCAGCTGATACAACGCAGCGGCAAAATCCTGCTGCACGCTAGGTACATCCGTATCTCCATCCACCTATCCAAAAAATAATAATCACATCGTATTTTGTATAAAAAATTGAATTTAGTCTTATTAATCTCTAACATAATCAATAATTTTTTCAGCTATAATGGAGATAAATAAAATTCTCCCTAATGAGATCATGAAAATATCTTTCCGCAGGAATTTACACAAGGCCGTTTTACATCAATCGTTACAAAATAACATTTTAATTTCATTAAAATCATTTATACGTACAATTATTAAACGATTGTCGTTGTCCAGTGTTTTCAGCATGGGAAGAGATACCTCGCGAAAGAGTTCCAATCTTTTCCTAAATGCCGAAACACTGTCGTCCAGTCTTCCTCTCCCGAGTTGCAGCTTGGAGCAATCGAGTAGTACTAGCGGAGGTTCTTGCCCAAACTATTAATCATATGATTTATCAATGCTAAGCAATAATTATGATTTGTTGTTCCAAGCTGTGAAATGACGCGAATGATTTTACCTTGCTTTCGAATTCTTGCACTTGATTTAAGTCTCTCGGATATCCATCCATGACAATACCATCCGTGTCTCGATTGAGAAGAATCTGTTGCTCCACAAGTTGCATCACGATGTCATGCGGTACCATTTCACCCGAAACGATGGCGTCGTTCACAATCATATTCGACGATGCCATTGTTCTTAACAATTCCCCGATACTTATGTGTAGCCAGCCTGGCATATTGCAAACGGCTTGGGTGCAAAGAGCCGCCTTATTACTTCCAGGTCCACCTAACATATGATATTTTACATGCGTCATGTGTAGGATAAGTCACTAATGAGCTTCATGGTTAATAGAGTAGCAAAGAAAAAAAAAAGAAAAAACATACGAATCAATTTGTTGATTACTTAATCAATTAATTGATTCGTATCATTTGAGCCTCGGTTTTATTAAATTTTTATTATTAAAAAAAACATGGTTAACGATGCCTTGATTCTTATGGTTTTGCCATTTTATAATTTGCATCAGACTTTTACCTATCACCCAGATAAATGCTGGTAATCCTTTTCTTGGTTTATTAGCTGTTTTCAATGGCGCATTTGTGGATACTGGGGACGGCGTCATCATAGATGCTATGACTTGTTGCTTCGGTAGCGGTGGACTCGTAATCGATTCTTTTCTCCTTTCCACTTCGACCTAAGAACGATGAAGCAGCGAAATGTCAGGCCGTTAATCGACAGAATCCGTCAAAGGACATTGTAAAATTTTAACGTACGCTTACCTCGGTTTCTAGAGATTGAGGTATATCTTGATCACGATTCTCGCCGCTTGACATGCCGAGAATTCTAAGAACGGCATCCCGAAAACTGACATAGACCTCACTCGGATTACGCTCTCCGTTCACCTATATATAAAAAAGTTTTTATATATATTTTCCTTTATATAAATGTGATAAATATACACAAATTTTTGAGCATAATTCATAAATTAAAGCTTGCGAATTATTATTATCGCCGTAATAACATCAAAAGAATTTGGAGTGTATCAATAGCAAATTTTCTTTTTTTTTTTACCTCAAGTAACATTCCACTTTGATCAAAATATTCCGCGACCGGCATGACATTCCTGTAAAAATTATACAACTCCATTCTAGCCAATCCGATGATGACGTGACCGAGTTGAGCACCGAAATCAATTTGCCTCTCCAATACTTCTTGTCTCCACGATACAAGAATGACGCCATTGACGATTTTTATCTACAAATAATATTACATGTGTATTGATCTTTAAATTGCTATATCTATTATTTTTTTTTTTAATATTGTGCGTAATTTAAATTAAGGGAAAATATAACACTTTAATTTTTATTTTTTTTTTAATTAATAAGAATACCTATCCATAAAAAATGAGACACTCACTTTTTCGGCATATTCCACTACGTCACGCATATTTCGCGGATATCCGCTTACAAGAAAGACTTTGGCTCCTGGGGACATTTTCATCTCGAGCATGAGTACTTCTGTGACAGTCTTACTACTAAGTTGTCCAAAATCTTGCATATCTACAATATAAATAGTTAAAATATGCTATATTGCATACGAATATATAAACATTTCTCTCTTAGAAAGTATTTACAAAATATGATGTCGTTATTCGAATCAAAAGATTAAGACGATTAAATTTAATTTATGTGCTCTTAAAAATCATGCGATATATAATTTATACTGCACACGCACACATATTCATTTATATATGTATAATAATTTCAATATTTACGGTTATAATATACGACTATATATAAAGGAAAATTACAAACCATTCCCTAATGCATATTGTTGAAGAAGATCCATCATGTTGATATGCGTTATTCCCTTTTTCTCTTGTATCAAATTGTCGCAATATGTCACCTTCCCACTACCAGGACCGCCTATACGAGATAATCATAGAACATAGAATATTGCAAAAAAAATCATTTTGTAAATAGTACTTAACTCTAAATATTCAACGATATCAAATTCTTTCAAGCCATCTGATCTCGCATAAAAACACAGATTCACGGAAACAATTTAAGATATAGATAACTATATTCCCGATTGTGCATAGAAAAAGCAAAGTGATTGATACAAACCAAGGACAAATATAACAGGAACTTTTGGTATCTCGAATTTAACTGGACCAACATTTTGCTTCGGGAAATGTCCATCTGGTGGAGTTGCCAAAAGACCAGCCTCGCCTCGCCATCTTCCTGTAGCCCGAGCATCGCCTTCCTCGAACACCTGCGATCCATGTTGCTGATCTGAAATATGTTAATTTCTTACTTGATAAAAAGTACTACATTTACACGCACCGCAAAGATATACGATACATTTTTAATATAGAGATTTCCGCGTGTCATTCAAGACAATTTATTTATTTTAGAAGAAAAATTCGACAAAGCCTCTTTTTATTAAAATTTATTTTAATAATTTTATTTAATTTTATTAATTTTATTTAAAATTATTGCTGAAAGATATTAGCGTATCACATCTTTTTCTCATTTTGATCAACAAAAAATTTTAATAGACATTTTTATTGACTAGAGTTAGAAAAACTTCGATTGCAGTTTCAATTAATGTTAAGCCTGCCTCCAATAATTACGACATATGTATAAATAAAAAAAAATGATGGCAATTTCAAGCTCCATTGAACAATTTACAAAAAAAGTCTAATTAGCATTCTACGATTATAAAGCTGATATATTACATTATGTAACGATGCGCTTGATATTACTTCGCAATATTTATTATGCATTTGCTTTCCGCTTATCATTGTGTATGAAGCGGCTGCTATATCAATAACATAACTTTAGTCTATACATTCGATTCGCATTCTGTTGATTACGTTGCGTGACAAAGCCGAAGATAAAAGTGAACGTCATAATATAAAATATGTATTGTTGCACTTGGATGCATTATTCATTACGTGACGTATATGACATCAATTTAATCACTTCGATTTATAAGTCAAATATTTACAATCTTAAGTATTATCGTATATACAAATTCAGATTTGTTTTTATCTATAGCAAAGAAAACATTAAAAATCATCATATTCAGATGAGAGTATAATGTAAGGAAATCGTATAGAGAGATCGAACTCGGATATGCTTCTATTTAAACAAAATTCAAAATGTTGATTGATTTTTATAGATATGGGAATTGTTTACAAAATATGCATATATGTAAGAAAAGAATTGCTTTCCACAAATAAAAATATTTAGCACTCCTTTTGTTCTGTCATTTTAAAAAGACATTAGAACGCATAAATAGACAGATAAATGTATTTTAATAGATAGATTTTTGTCGACAATATTTGAAAATAAAAAAGGTACAGTAAAAAATCAAATGAAAGTGCATATAATGATTAATCGAAAAACATATGGAACTCATGGAATAATTTCATTTTATACCTAGTATAGAAAATAAAGAAATATCTAATAAAGAAAATAATGATGATAAAAAATATCAAAGATGCCAAGTATGCCAAGTTTTTTTAACGCTAGCATTGAATCTTTCTTCCGACAAAGAAATATTTATTCATTGATTATTAAAGACAAATACATTTTCGTGAAATAAAAAAGATTATTTAAAAAGTAATAATTATTTATTATCAATCAAATATGATTTTACTATTAGAAATTAAACAGGTCGAAGAATATAACAAAAAAAATATTATATTGGCTATATTGTGAAAATACATACTATTCTCTCTCTATACTTAATTAATTATATATTAATATAGTAATTTTCAAATTAGATTTTACTGCATATAACATTAATTACAAATTCAAATGATGTGTAAAAATGTGGAATTTTTAATTTTGCGTGTTACTGATCATTTAGTATGTATTATAAGAAATCATACTATTATTCTATTTCTATTTATTCATTAATTATATAAACATTAATTATATAAATTATACAGCAGATATATACTCTGAATTGAATTGCGTGCGTATTTCCTGATAAGTTTATTGCGATGGCGAGGAAAGACTTTCTACGACAATGTCACTTCTGCAATATCGATCGTGATAATATATTCGCGTTAATCGTAAATGTTATACATATATATTTGCGTGTCTTGCATTCAAGTTTTTTTGTAGATATTATGAAAAATCAGAGTTCTTAGAATAGAGAAAGTTATTTGATTTTGGAGGAAAATAATCTCTTAACGGCAAGCTTTTGTTCCAGATGGAAAAAAAAGTAAAAGTTTACAAAATTTTACGATCACATGTTTTTAAACGAAACCAGATCCGTTTTTAAACAAATATTTTTCTTTCTTATATAAATCGACCTTTCTCATTATTTTATGTATAAAAATAGTAAGATTAAAATATCAAAAATATTATAATTGCTAATTTATAACTTATAAATTATAATTTATTATACTTATTTTTATTATATAATTTATTTATGCGTAACATAAAATAAGTAATATTTTGATGTAACTTTACTTTATTACTTCTAATACAGAATAATAAATTAATTAAAGCCTCCTTTCCTCAAACAAAGATACATTTAATATTTTTAAAATGCTTATTAAACTGAGGTTCGCGTAATTATTAAATCAAAGTTGAACTTTTGTTATATTATTTCGTGCGTTAAAAGATCGAAATATCTCGGATTATTCGACTAGAGAAGCTCATTGTGAAACGAAGCTCGCTAACTTGCATACAGTAATAATTAGTTATTCGTATACTAACCAGTGTCAAGGCAGATGCCCATAGTAAGTCGTTCGAGGACTGCCACAATCCTTCCACGGCCATTTACATTCACATGCTTCTGGCAGATGAATTCATCCCTGCTTCAACACGCGTGAAGTTCTGAAGAATCATACGCAGCTTGTGACCTCACGAGACTTTCACATTAGTGACAATTATTCCGCGTTTTATCACTCGACAGTTTTTTTAATCGATTTTTCGTAATCGAAAATTGCCTCGACAAATGTACACTAGTTTAATTGTCCAGGTTCGATCCGATTTTATCCGTGGAATTTAATTTTCTTCGCTACAAAGCGACGTCCTAATGACGGAGGCGTATGCACCTGCCACGTGTTGATTCGCGTCGAATCTATTCGACGTAACTTCCTTAATAAGCATTTGAGAATAAAACCAAGTAAAATCACTGTCCACATCGGACTTTCGAAAATTTACCCGAGGAATCCGCAACAAATCATTACAATCACCTTCATTTCAAATGTCATCTTATATCATGCGCGACACTTGGATAAGAACGAGGAAATTGCGAGCACCCTGAAAACCACATGTCGTCAATTTTACAATATATGTATGATTTGTGAAAAACTTTAACTTTTGAATATTTGTTTTCAAATATACAGAGTGTCCCCAATAGCGTGTAGGGGACCGATAAACTAAGACAAAAAGTCCTCTAGAGATTTGCTCGATTTTGCTTCGTTTTGAAGAAAATCGCAAAAAATGAAACAAATAATTTTCACCAAAAAACTTAAAACAACAATAAAATTATTAGATTTATCAAAAAGTATTATAAAATAACAATTGGAGAACATGGAATTAAGAAGAGAGAGCGAGTTAAAATCCTCCTGAGGTAAAATTAGAGGATTGTAGATAAATACGCGACAACGCGAAATTTTGTTTCTAATCTAATTTTACCTCAGGAGGATTTTAACTCACTCTCTTTTCTTAATTCCATATTCTACAATTTTTATTTTGTAATACTTTTTGATAAATCTAATAATTTTAGTATTGTTTTAAGTTTTTTGGTGAAAATTATTTGTTTCATTTTTTGCGATTATCTTCAAAACGAAGCAAAAACGAGCAAATCTCTAAAGGACTTTTTGTCTTAGTTTATCGGTCCCCTACACGCTCCTAAAGTTTTGACATTTAAATTGGGGACACCCTGTATAACAGATTATTCGTATATTAATATTTTTCCATTTATGCATATAGTATATTTATCTTTGGGAAAGTTCAAATTGAAGCAGTAGATTGACATTTTGATAACTGTTGTTAATCGTGTCAAAAAAAAAAAGATAAAGATAAAAAAATGTCATCTTAGTGAACAAATTGATATATTTATGAAATTATAGAAAAATCTTTGTTAAATCACATTGTAAACTAATAGATTATCAATAATTAAAAACTTTAGAACAAAATCAAGTGATTATGTATTAAACTTCTTGAAATCGTTTTTTAAAAAGAGAAAGAAGCGTAAAAAAAACACGTGAGAGAAAAAAAATGAAAGAATTGTGTTTTCTTCCTCTTGAATTAAAATAAGTTTTGCTTATAACATTTGTAGTAAAAAATAAAATAAATTATACGTATTCTTTTTGAATAACGTTAACAAGTTTTTTCATGGAAAAATCTTTACTTGTCTCGTTACTAACATATTGGCAAAGCTAAAAATGTGTCTAATCACTACAAAAGTTTCTAACAAGTACGCAAATTATTTAACAATATATTTAATCGCCACATTTTTATCATGTAACTTTTTTCATATTAAATATACACGTATATATTCTACAATCTTTCGTCGTAAAATAATCTGTTGTATCAGTATGAAATTGTCAAATACTATGTAAAGCTATACACGATTATATTTTCGACTTCTAAATGACAGTGAAACGCAACCATCCAACTTTTTCCTATAACAACATACAGACTCTTGATTGCAATGTTAACGGGCTTTGCGTCGAAGCGTCTCTTTACATACATTTCGCGGAAACCTTCGATTTTTATAAAATACACGGATCCTCCTCTATATAAAATTAGACTGTGGAGTGTGAAATCTTTTATTGCATACATTCCAAGGGCACAATACCGCGAATAGATATCGAACAGCAGTTTAGCAAGAACACGGGAACGCGCAAAATTGCAAGATCACTTTCGATCGAATTACCTTAAAAATGTGAATGCGATTATTACATCGAGACCGATATAAATGAAGTGCCGAAAACTTTCGGGTTCAACGATCGACCTCTCATCAACGAAGATAAATTTCACACGTTTCCCTTTGAGTCAAGGGATCCGACTCCACTCGAAGGATTGGAGAACACACACCAGCTTCCCGTTCACCCGAAAGGACCACCGGCTTTGCGTCGCGCGCGACAACACAAACGACTATGAGTCACGATGCTTTTGTGCAAGCGAGTTTTTACGCCCTTAGCTTTCTTATACAACGCGCACGATAATGCTATAATGATTTGTCAGGAACGAATAGAGGTCGTGCTCGAGTAGTAAGAACCACTTGTCGTCATGGATACGGCGCAAGCGCCCGATTCTTTTATACCCTCGTGCATGTACTTTGCATATAGCCGGAATAATGGACGTGTGAATACATGTGAGTTAAGCCACATGTATGTACGCGTGATGGGGCGTAATGTGGAGGGTTCAATGTCAAGTTCCCCGCCGGCGTGACTGTTCTCGAACCGGGGGTTCGATGAGCAAGTGACCAGGCGAGGAACGCGGATAATAATGCGTTCAAATATCATTTGCTTAAATTTCGTCGTTACAACGTAATGTTAGATAATTTTGTACGATAAGAGAAGGAACTCATCACTCTAAAAAAGAAAGCAACGTTTTTATTATTTGTTCATACTTTTACGCTTCCTCTTTGAATTCTCGTTCGTTTCCTACGTACTTATCGTTTCTCATAGCTTTATATAGATCCAATCAACATGAATTAATTTACAACGCAAAACGTATCATTTTTAATAACAAGTAAAATAGCTTATGATAATTTGCTTCGTTGGAAAGCGTTGAATAGAAATGGATTGCCTTCTGATGCAATACATGTAAGAGTTCGCAGAATAGTCACCCTTTTATAATAAAATTGCTAATATGCGCACTTATATATATTTTCGTGGGATCTGTCAGAATAGCGACAGCTGCAGTGATACCTCGTCAGGGTATTGCACAGGAACAAGTACGTGTCAGGCATTTAACGCATAAGGCTAATACGAAATTTATGATCTCGTTTTACAATCGATCGAAGGAGGAATATATGAGAAACATAACAAGAAAAGGCATTCGCAATATAAAACAAGTTTAGGAACGTCTAAATTCTATATGTGTACCTCTATCTCTGTGCTTTCTCTATATCCGAGAATTAACTCTCGAATGTTCTAGCTCGAATTGTCATAAGGTATTATCGACAAAGGTGGTCTTTCTATAAAAATTTGTCAATTGATAAAAAATTACAGCGCGATGTCAGAAGCTGTAATTCTTTGCTAACTTTATGAATTGTCTTTTATAACCGTCTTATTTTAATACATATTTTATTACATTATATAGATTTTTCAATATCTCTTTCACACACGTGCACACATACATACGATAATTACGATTTTAATACTAATGTAAAAGAAGAAAAAAGTTGTTCGTAGAAACTCGCAGTAAATTCTAAATTGAATTACCACTTAAAATTTATGTCGTATCTTTTTATTGATTTCTCTACATCTAAATCTAGCTGAATAATATACTACTACACACATTGCATTGTGTATATGTGATTACATTAAATGGTGTAATTTTAGGAATTAAAACTAAATTATAGTTTTTTTTTTTTTTTATCAAAAGGAAAGAAATGATAAATGAAAATATTTTGCATCACATTCATTTTGCTACAATTCAATATCGGCAGCCATGCCGAGCAAAGCGCAATTGTATTTTCTTTTTCTCTCTTTTGATGAAATCAATAATCCTTTTATATAAAATAAATCATTTCATTATCCTGCGCATAAGTATTAAGGTCGTCGGAAATTGAATAATTTATAAGATATTTCATACATTCCGTGCCAGTACTTAAAAGTTCAATATTCATGTCGATCGTGATAAGCACAATATCAACGTGAAGATTTAACGTTTGATTATTAATACGTTTTATCTTATAATTTCAATAATTTCAATTCTTATATATATTTCCATTCTACATAGAATTTAATTAATGCAAATTCAACGCATCAAGATAATGTAGTAAAAAAAAACCAATAAGAACTATTAATATTTCTCAGAACACTTATGCTTATGGGCAACAGATATTCGACTCCCCGATCGAAGACTGACGTATAAAATACTATATGCTGTATGATATCCATTATTTACTTTCCATAGATAATAGATAGTATCAATACATGTAGATAATAGATCTGTCTCGATATGAAACTTTTATAATTTAAAGACATTTTGTTAATGGATAAGTGCTAACCTAGACACAGCTCAAAAAAGCCAAAAGACATCTTAATGATGTCTAAAGGACGTTAAGAGACGTTTTTAAATCATATTTTTAGACATCTTTTACAGACATGTGTTATCTGGTAAGTTGATACACCTGCTTCTCTTTAATAAGATAATATATTATTTAATTTTTATACTTTTATATTTAACTGATCTTCTAGTGGTTATTCGCAATACTCTCATTTATTTATAAATCACAATATTTAATATAAAGATCAACTAATCTTTTAGGATTTATTTTTATTTGTAATCTATATCAATAATGTTATTAGACATATCTTTAAAAATGTAAAATATATAATATAATATCATGATGAATAATTAATGATATACGTATATACAGGGTGTCCGACAAGTAAGTGACTAAACGAAAGGTGGAAGTAGATTGGATCAAACTGAGTCGAAAAGTCCTGAATCATTCTTTTTTATAACGCTTAATAAAGGGGTTATTATTGAGTAAAGTCTGGCCAATCAGCGCCGATCTTTAGGCGCGCGCCTGGGGCCCAATTCTTGAATTCATTCGCAAGAGAAACGTATGCGCAAATTCCATTCTTATGAGAAATCTACAAGTTGATTGGCTAAAAGCCATGCAATAGCCAATCAACTTGCAATTTTTCTGTAAGAGCAGAATGTGCGCATACGTTTCTCTTGCGAATGAATTCAAGAATCGAGCCCCAGTTATCGTCGTCAACACTGGGACACCCTGTATAATTTGATGATATATAAAGAATATCCATGTAATTCGGTAGCAAGTAAAAATTAAAGATAAACGCTGATAAGAAAATTTATGGCTGGGAACGTGCAGAATTAGGAAAAACATTAAATGATGTAGCTATTAAAATTGATGGAGAATTGATTGAGCAAATGAATTAAATAAAATATTTGAGTGCGATTATAAATGGATGTTTTAATTTTAACAATGATATACATCTATGAATAATAAAAAAATTAATAAGAAAACATATTTTCGCGGAGTATAAAAAGTCGTTCTCTTTCTCTTTTCGTTTTCTTGTCAGATCAAAAGGGAGAGAGAGAGAGAGAGAGAGAGAGAGAAGGATATATATTTTTTCTGTACGTTCATAAAAATTACTTTATTAAACAATTTTATGTAATGTCGTATATATACAGAGATTCTAAAGATGTAAATGTAAGAAGCAAGATAAAATTTATGCAAGATCATAGTTTTTGCATTTTATACGCACATACATTTTTTTCATCAACAAAATCACAATATTTGCGATATCAATAAAAGCCAAATTCACTTATTATATAAGATGCGATTTTAAATCATTATCGCATTTTTTAATAATAAAATTGATTCCTAATGGGAAATACAGATTTAAAAAAACGTATATTAGATGTCTATAGATGTCTAATAGACATCTAATAGAATATTTTTTTCGATCTCCTATTTCTTAGTGGGGTAAATCTTTAGGGAAGTAAATTTCTAAGCTGCGCTTTCTAACATAATTAAATTATGAAAATACATATTAATTATTACAAGGGCATATATAGATAAGTGTCATTTTCAAGGTATCACTTTAGCATAAAGTCCGCTAGCAACATAAGACCGATCGACTTACCATGAATATTTAACAGTTACCTGTTATCGGTTCTGCTTCAAGAAATTATATGCTTATATAAAGCCATCTAACCCACTTTACTGCGCTTGACTGAATGTATAGAAACGTACGTCGATTTAATTGGAATTTAACGAGAAACTGATGTCTCATGACATATAACTATTTAGAATAACATAGTAGTTTTATCCAAATAATACAAATCTATATTTCTTACTTATTTGATTACAATGACGTAATTTATAATATTTGAAGTCACTGTGTTTATATAAAAAATAAGTAAAAAATGGCAAGATATCTTTGCAGAGAAAAGAAGAGATACTCTCCAAAGGTTTTTCAAATTATAAATATCAAATAATAAAATTTTCGTTAGTAATAACACACAGTATAAAGTTCTATTAAATTGCCAGTAACATTTATATGATAATATATATTAAATGATATGCAAGAGTAACATATTTTTTCTTCCAATTTTCTTTTTAATAGAAAAGAGAAGCTCATTCAAAAGCTCATTTAAAAGCACTTCCGTTCTCATACAACAAAATATTTTTTAGAATTCTCGATGGAAATGATTTGAATATATATCAAATATTTATTTGATATTATGCTTGCTTCTGTTTTGTAACAACGATAATGATGACGATTTCATTAAGTATATATAAGTTAGTACATTATAGTGTACAAGCATACAGGATAAATTATTTCGTACGACAGGCTGACATATAGCTGGTTCAATCATAGAGTCTTGCATAATTCTATCTTGTCGAATTAGAAGTGACGTGGCCGCTTTTCCGTATATTAATATATCTATATTTTAATAATGCGATAGACAGAAATTCGTACGCGCATAATTATTCATTGCTTTGCCAATCATAAATTGAATTAGAACAAAGAAAATAGATTATAATTATATGCATCTAATATTTCTCGTATTTGTCCATTAAAGTATTAAATATTAAGAGCTAAACGACAAAGAAAACATTAAAAAACAATTAGAATGTTTTACAGTCCACACGGTCTAGAGAGAGAAAGAAAGAAAAAGAGAAAGAGAGAGAGAGAGAGAAAGAATTGGATAATAAATAAATCTCTAGATTTTATGCTCAGAATTGTCTAAATCACAATTGGAAAATAATTATTGATGCCTGGTATATATTGTTCTGTCCTTGTATGTGTTACTCATCAAATGTCAAGTAAAAACAGAAAACAATATCGGTCGGAATCAATTTTAAATTACCCTTAGATATACATTCGCATCACATAATTTATCTAATATAAAATAACGGTAATTAATATAAACTTTACGCGACATGTCTTTTATATCAGATCCATATATATAAATACCTCTGGTTTTCAGTAGATACGTTGAACGACGGTTCCACGAATAGAAGGAATAAAGTTTGCAAGATGCAACGCATTTTTGACGTTATATAAAAGTTTCAAAAAGTTTCGACAAGATCAATGATGAATTATGGTTTCGTATATTTTCTAAAGAAACTCAAAAATTGTGGAAAGGGGGGCTTAGTTCCAAGATCGGAATAGTGTTGGGATAGAAGTTAAATTCTAATCAGCGTTATTATCGTGAAGATAATGTTTCTGAGAGATAGGACAGTAGCTCGATATAAAATTTTTTAAGCAGTCTCGATATATGTAACGAATCGCTCAAAAATTAACTCAACAAGATACAATTATTAATAAAGATAGAAAATAATACATATATAAATGTAAAGATAATAGAAAAATATATCGTGGAAAATATATATAATATAGAGCAAGAATAAAATTTGCACAATTTCTTCATCTTTGTTAATATTTAATACGGTATTATTAGTGAGAAAAAAACAAGGGACCTTGATTTTTAAAGAGCTGCAGGTTTTATTTCTTAAATCACGATTCCGCACTAACAATAAGAAATAATGTATACGCATAATAGGTAACTTGCCGTAAAATATGATAACAATTTTGAAACGTTACTATATTTCACGATTTAGTACAGATTTAATTTGAGATTTTATAATTTTGACTTTGGATTCAACAGCAAATCAAATATTTGCAGATACTGAATTCTGTATAAAATTAAAAACATTTGTATTTTATAATCACAAAGATATTATTATAACATCTCTGCGGCTCTCTAAAGATAAAAAAATATATTGAATAAAAATTTGAGCACAGCACACATTCATAAATATATATTTACTATCTTCTTTATAATTCATATTAGAATTGTATACATGAGAGAGACAAAGATCAGTAATTTTTTAATAAAAATTCTTATCTAACGGAAATTTTGATATCGTGTTAACTAAGGAGTTTTTAAATAAATTATTAAACCAATTTCACAGTTTTGAAACTATTTACACAAAAATGCACATAATGGAATGTGATATTGGAATATGATAATTTGTGTCTACATTGAATTATAAGGCTGAAATTATACATATCATCTCGTTTAATGTTTTCTCGCCATGTAGATCTGACTTATAATTTTTTAGTTATGAGCAATTAATCAGTTACAAAATTTTAATTATAATTAATAAAAAGATTGAAATTAACAAACAACTAATATAAGATATATTAATATAAAAATTTATATAAAGGAATAACTTAAATTGAGAACAAATTTCATTTTTAAAAAATAACGATATATAGTGTTTTTCAGTACACTGTGTGACGTGCAAGTGCAATCTAATTTCGTGTATATTGATCTCAATTGACAATTGATCGATTAATCGAATGCGACGATAGATCGATAATTGATGTTCTTCTATATCTCAACTCATTTATATTTAAGACGGTTTTCGAACTAAGCGATTAACAATGAGATATTAAGCGCTATATATTGCGCACGCGTTTCATAGCTTTCAATTATATTGTTCAGGTAGTACGTAAGAAATATCATCCCACGGATGGCGATAAAGGCCTTGCTTTAATCTCTTCTGGTCCATATAATGACCTAAAAGAAAAACTTGTTTGTTAGAAATTAATGATGCTTACATTATCTATTTATGTAATAAAGCGCATAATGCATATTAATATAGCTATAAATATACATAATAACTAATATAAATATACATATACATATATAACCGTACCGATAAATCCTATACTTCGACCAAGGATGAAAAGACTATTTATGGCACCTATTTCAATATATTCTTGCGCCTCTTCTCTTGTAAAACTACCACTGTTCCGTAGCATATCGACGAAGGCGCTGGCAATAATTCCATCTACATTAAGAATTAAATTAGGCTTCTTACTGGTCGTTATTTTCTCAACCTCCAAGGCATATTCGACCAAAGGTTTCGCCGGAAAATTCTCCAACACAAATTCTTTGATAAGCTTAACGCGCATATCAGGATTGTTAATCGATTTGACACGATGACCAATACCCATAATTAGCTTGCCCTTTTTACGCGTGTTATTTACAAATTCTTGCGGATGTAGACCGGCATCGTATGCCTCGGAAAACATATGAGCCGCGCCGTCTAAGGCACCACCGAAACGATCACCCTGCAAATTAATATCTTTTTAGAATCCGAGTGTCTTTCGAAGAAACGTACATCCCCTTTGTTAAGTATCCGTACTCTCTACTTACAATTGTTAAAAGTCCAGAAACGAGAGAGCTGACCAAATCTTTTCCAGCGCGTGCGCAAACGATGGTATTGTGAGCCCCGGAAACAGCCGGACCGTGATCAGCTGTCAGCATCAAAGACATTTCGAGAAATTTACAGTAGGTTGGGGGTAAGCAACGCTGAAACCACAAAAGTGACACGACGCCGCCAATACCCACGTTTTGCTTCAGCACCTCAGTTACAGGCATACCGGCATACAATAATTCCTGTCCACGTTCGTCGCAAATAGACGTCATAAATGACGCAGGTTTACGTATTAAACCAAGTTCCTGTTTATATGACACATACATAAATATTATACATGATTTAATCCTCAATTATGTTAAAAAAATGACAGTTACATGTACAAAAACCAAGCTCAATTTGCTATAACAAAGTTTTAATTAAATTTTATGACAACATTAAAGTATAGAAATAATATTGTATCATTTATCAAAGAAATAATTTGATACGAGAGAGAATGCTTCGTTTACTCAATTTTATCAAAAAGAAAAAAAAGAAGAAGAACAGTTGGCCTGACATTTCCTTAATACGCACGAATCAGTTTTATAAAAATTTTATATCATGACTTTCTATTTCTTGATAACGAAAGTAGATAATATAATAGATCAATATAGATAAAGATAGAACTTGCCCTGGCCCAATTATAATCCATTGGTACTGTCGGCGGTGGAACTTCGGGTTTCGGCACCACTGTGCCGTCTTTCACCAGTTTTTCGTAAACGCTTTGTATGAGATCGCCGAGAGTATCGAAGCTATCCGGGACGTACGCACCGGCGGCCTTCAGCGCTGCATTTTTCGCGGAAGCTGTTTCAAGATTGGAATGCGCGATCGAGCCAGCATGGCCAAACTGCACTTCGGAATTGAACATACTGGCACAGGTACCGATGCACCAAGCCACCAATGGCTTCCTGATCCTACCGCTTTTCAATGCTTCGCATACTTCATATTCCTCGATACCGCCGACTTCTCCGAGCAGTATGATCAGCTCCACGTCTGGATTATTTTGATAACGCATTATGTGATCCATAAAGGTAGTTCCCGGATATCGATCTCCACCGATAGCGACACCCTCCAGTACACCGTTAGAAGCCTTTGAGATAATGTTATTTAATTCGTTTGACATGCCACCGGAACGAGAAACATAAGCGACGCTGAAAATAACATTTCTCGTGAGTCATCATCATTGTTAACCAATCAACTCTCATATAAAAATAGTCTACGGTATATTACCTGCCAGGTCTATATAATTTGCTATGCAGAATATTGTCCATCATTCCGCCGGTATTACCGATCTTAAAACATCCCGGTTTCACACCTCCCACAGTCGCCGGTCCGATTATAGTTACGTTTCTTCGTTGCGCCGCTAAGATCATTTTTCTAGTCATATTTTCAGGTATACCTTCCGCGATTATCGCGATTGTTCTGATTTGCGGAAATTGCAATGTTTCCATGGTGCTTTCATAGGCAGATCTTAGAGAGGCAAATGTGACCATTACATCCGCATCCGTATGCTTAGCCATAGCATCTTTCATTTGTTTATAGACAGGGATAAGGACCTATTTAAAGAAGGTAAAAACAATATAATCATCAATATATTTTATATATATAATTATTCTTATAATAATTTTTTTTTAATATGTTCTTTGTTTTTGGCTCTTTTTTTCCTTAATTAAAACTCACCTCCTTATGGCCCCAGTAAAATTTTTGCTTGTGATCACCAGTGAACGGATAAACGATAGCAGCGACAGATGGCTCGCATCTTCGACAAACAAAATCAAAATCCAACATACTCTGTACAGCCCTCGTCTGCATACCCCAAATGATAGATCTAGTTTTATTGCTGAAAAGTTGTCTGTCACCGTCGTTCGAATCTACTACATCGGTAGGTTTTAGTTTAGGTTGCTCTTCTAATGGTAATTTGTTCTTGGGCGGTGTAGATGGTGGTCCGACATCCTGTCCGGAAGGCAAAAGAAAGTTTGCAGTTGAGAATTCTTGAGCTTCTGGATCAGGAATCGGTTTCCTTCCTAATGCCATAGCACATATAGCTGTCATATGCGTCTCGGGACCGAATACATGAACGGGAATCCCTAACCGTCTACCAACTTCCCGTATTATCCTATCAGGAATAATATTTTTATAAAAATATTTTACTTCTTTTATTGATTATACAAGAAGTTTCTCTCTTTCACCTTAAGCCCTCTTGATAATTAGGTCCGGCTCTTCTTACAAAAATTCTTATATCATGCTCTACCAGTTTAGGCTGATATTCCTGGAGAGCCTTAACAATGCCTTTAAATGTTGCAGCTACATTTGTGAAGTTAGCAATTCCACCTCCTATAATGAGCACTTTTCCATCTTGACGCTTTGTCTTCGTCATCAAACTCAGGATGGTTTTTGCGTATTCGTAAGTTTGTTGTTCGCTAGGGGCACCAGAATATTCGCCGTAATTGGCCAATTCATCCGCTGCACCCAAATCGCAAATTGTGTCCGAATATATTACAGACGCACCTATAAGAATCAATTATAAAATAGTATTTTACGTATAAATAAGCCATAAAAAAGCGAACGCGAATTATTATATATGAACATCTACCGACCACCACCAGCAACCATTGTCCATATGCGGCCGTTTGGATTCAGAATTGTCAATTTTAAACTGGCGCCCGATTTGGCATCCAAATCAGCTATGTAGGCTTCTTCCGGATAAGCATCTCTTCCAAATGGCGGTGGATAATCGATTTCACCCCAATCCGGTTTACATATGAAATCTGCCGTAGTGTCTAGCTTGGCTGCGAGATCAAGTATATAGATCGCGGAATCCGTTACCACCAACGGATTGATCTCCATGTATGTGAAATATAAATTAACATAAAGCTTATAAAGAGATTCTATGAATTCAGCAATCATCCTGTAATATAAAAAAAAAGTATATAAACAAACAAAAATATAACCAGTTTATAATCATTTACAATGACTGATTATAGGCGTCATTACACTTTTTTATCGTCCGTCACGTTAATCAGAAGTTTATTAATCAATGTAGATCGATCGGGCAACTCGCTGCCAACTGGTATGTCTAATTTCAAAGCTTTAGCATCGACATCTCCAATATCGACACCTCCTTGATGATGAAATAGTATCGTGTCAGCTTTGCGATGAGAATAAATACAGATATAAACTTCCTCTTCCTGTAACGTAAATATGTATAATATACTAAATGCTTCACAAATATCAAAAATAATGTATAAAATGGCATCCATTTTTAATATATTTGAGACGCGCGTATCGTCTTTAGACAATCGTGTTTAGACAAATCATTAAAAAATCACCTTTCCAAAAAAAATTATTGCACAAAAAATGTTTTATATACATTTTATTGATTAAATTGTTTTTTCTACGAAAGTAATGATATCATAAAATTGACACCAACACATGAGGGAATAAAAAATTATATATATATACCGTAAAATTTAATTCGTTTATTACCACGTTTCATTATTAAAAATATTATATATGTATAGCAATCGCGATATTATTTTTGATTGGCATAGCAACATCAAGATGTTATATATTAAATTTGTTATTCTTTCTCTCTCTATTTAATGTATTATCATATTTTTTACAAACTTCAATTTACATAAAAATACAAAAAAAACTTACCGGTTTGTGCGGTACAAATGGTTCGATTATGAATGTTTTTAACTTTCCAGTCGCCTTGCCGACGCGTTGCTCCTTATTCATGCGTTGCTCAACCCATTTTTGTACAGTAGGTAAATCTGCGTTCACTTTGATTAATCCGAGTTTTCCTCGACGCTTGATTAATTGATCCGGTTTTACGACTAATTTTTCCGTCTTGAGCCACGGATATTCGTTGGCGATATCGATCCAATTTGTATCTCCCGTAATAGGTACGAATCTACATTTCGCTACTTTTATTCCAGAAGAAAGCTTACGATTAATTAAATCTTTCCCAGTCGCTTCGCGAATTGCTTTTGCTGCCATTTTCTTTTACAATTCCTGTCAACAGATCAAAATAAATAGATTTGTAATATTATTATTATTATTCGGACATTATGTGTAGGATAATTCGAACAATAAATTGTTAGATAATATGAGGATATAAAAGATAATTTGTTCATAAAAATTCGTTTCTACGAAAAATAATGATAAAGATTATTATTAAAATTATGTCTTTAATATATTTTTTTAGATAATGTAGGCTTTAATGTTATGAATATTAGAAATAGTGATCTAAAAAATATTTAAATTATATTATCTCTTTCGCTCGTACTTGTATAATTGATTATATCACGTGATCAACACGTACCAAGCGATAAATACACACAATTTATCGCTTAAGAATTATAATATAGATTGAGAGATAGTGGAATCTCATGTACGAAAGCATGTACATGTTCTTTATTATAAACCGATGCATTCTATGTATTAATCTTAAAAAAAAAAAAAAAATTTCGAAATTAAAATTGCATAGAACTTTCGAATAAATAGCTCTTTCGGTTATTTTTTGTATTAAAATTTTTGCGATAAATGAATATTTTTCTACCTGCGAAAACGTTTGATGTACGAAAGCATGTACATGTTCTTTATTATAAACCGATGCATTCTATGTATTAATCTTAAAAAAAAAAAAAAAAATTTCGAAATTAAAATTGCATAGAACTTTCGAATAAATAGCTCTTTCGGTTATTTTTTGTATTAAAATTTTTGCGATAAATGAATATTTTTCTACCTGCGAAAACGTTTGATATCACGTGGACGTCGCTATTCTTACCGTCACTCGCGGCAGTTAACTGTGAACTTTCAATGTGACCGCGATAATAAGTAATACTGCCATATTCCCGCTCGATATCGCGAGATATCGTATGATTTTACTCTTTTTTTATGATATGTTTTATATCTCATTCCCTCTCTCACCCTTTAATTCATCTCACATACATACGTGTATGCGTTCAAACGTATAAGTCTTACTTGCAAATATAGCACAGAAAAAGAATCATATTACATGTTTTTTCTGTGATCCGCTGTAAAAAATGTACAATTAAAGCGGATAATTAATCATGTGATTAATGGCGTGACATAAAACTTCAATTAATATTAAGTTAATTTAATTTATATTTTAATTTCAATTAATATTAAAAACAATTAATATCTTTAATAAATTGTTTTGACAGTGTTATTAATACAAGTATACTAAGTCTGTCTCTCTCTGGCTAGTACCTGGAGGGAAGGGGAACATCTTTTTCATAATTTAACATATTGAAATGTGAATTTTGAGATAATATATAAACCGCGAATAATATATGTATAAGCTATTTATTATAAATAAAGTAAATTTTCATGTATCATCCCTCGTCCTTCAATAACCTTGACCTTGACATGTGTTCATAATCTTGAATAACTTTCAAAAGGTTTTCAAAAAAATAATCATTTATAATATCGGAGGAAGATATACTACTGTAAAAGTTTAATTTTATAAAATTTTTTCTTCTTATTTTCGGTTTTTTTTTTTTTAATTATTAAGATATAAAAAATTGATTTTTTTTTTTTTTTGTTAGAATATGAAACGTACATGAAGCTGACATTTTATTTCGTAGAAACTCAAGCTATTTGAGATTTCCGTGTATGATTTTCAATAATTTTATATTTATATATAATTATTTTTAACAATTCTTTAAGTTAAACAAATAGTTCTAACATTAAAACAGAATAAACTAAGAAGTTAGATACCTACGCATTGCCTTATAAGAATTCTTTCTTGTCCAATTCTAAGAGATTTGTATCCTATATTTCTACATAAATGATGGGAAAAATTTTACTTTGTTTAAAAACAAAAAATATCGATTATAATTGAGAAGAGACAAAAAAAAAACATTGTATATATTGAGATGAGAAACGGATAAAAATGCTTATACATACGAGCTCTATACACACGAGAGAATCCTGCATTATGAAATAGTTTTGTTAATATTTATAACTTTTGACATGAGTGCTGAATAAAATTAAATCTATTTTAGTAGACAAACTCACAGTTATTTTTCAATCAATGATTGTACTAGGTATTCACATCTTTTGCAATTGGGTCATTTCCTAATACGTAGGTACTATACGATTTTAAGTTAAACACTCGCGAATTATAATGATTATGAATATGAAATAATTAATCATCGAAGTGAAAATATTACTGATACCATGAGCAGTTTACGCATCGAGAGAATCCGTCTTTTCGTTATACGCATCCCGTGTAGCGGACAGATGAACGCGACACAAGACAGACAATTAGTTATATACATAAAATATATCAATTACAATTACATCTTATTGTACATTGATGTGTAATTCCATCAGAATAAAATGCAGATTTTTTGTTTGCATACAATTATCATATAATGTGCATGTAACTTCTTTTATGCGCGCTTCTTTCACGTCACTAATACATATATACATATTGTATAAGATCATTGTACAATGTCATTGTATATACTTTATAACAAATGGTAGCAAAAGGCTATGACGATGGATAAGACACGACGAATGCCAAATAATATTATAGTATCTATCGAAATATTCAATGGGTTTTTTCGCCATTAATCGCAGATCCTTTTCTTTTAACACAGCAGAACGAGAAAAACAAGTTTTTCGTGAAAGATTGCATATCTAAATCCTTGTCAGAGATTTGTTCATTTTAATGCGAAAAAATACGAATCGATTAAACAACATTGAAGCCATAATAATTTTTTTTTTTTTCGCATATCTACTCGTATTCTATAGATTAACAAAGAATTTCAGAGTCAAAATTCACACGTACATATTAAACAAATAAAGAAATAAATTTAAAATAGCTGAGTCTGCACGCTTAATATGAAACAATCAAACAATTACGAATGAATCAAAAGAAATATATTATATTATCACACAGTATTTCGAGCACTTCAAAAGATTTATAATTTTGATTATTTTGATCCACGCACGTTTGTTTATTCTATGTAATAACCTTTTAACCTTTAACCATTTATTAAGTGTTCTTAAGCAGACTTTATATGTGCTTTCGTTTCTCATATCATCAATTGAAGAATGAAGACTAAGCATATTTTCTTTCGGCGAATAGGAGCTATATCGAACGAAGAAGGAATTATTCTCCGAAACCATTGGACTTTTAAAACATCAGTTAAAATATTTGTTTTGACGACAATAATTTAACGTTGTTTCTTCTATACACATAAAATGTGTTAAAAACAATTCTGCCTTTGTATGCGTGATACCGATATAAATATGAAATACATGTTCATATATCTAGATATCAGAAAATTCAAACTTTTTTAGGCTTAAATTTATAAAGTTAACATTATAAATCTAATGCGTATATATATATATATATACAGGATGAGTTTTTTGAGATACCTAAATATCTTGAAAACAACGCATTTTTGAAAAGAAAATTTGAAACAAAAGTTGTGTATTGGTATAAAGAAAATAATTGTTTTTAAGAAAAAGTATGTACTTATTTACAATCCATCTTTTTTTAACAATTATTTGTTTTCTTTTACACCAATTGATTTGTCTCATTATTCCGTACATAAAAGTCTTACGGTAAGATTATCGAAAACTAAATATTTTACGAGATAGTTTATTTTTTATATCAAGATATGTCAGATTAAGATATAAAATAACTCGAAAAATATTTAATGACTTTATTATAATGTTTTGAAAAGGTCTCAAGAAAGGTTATAAGAATATACAATACAAAAAGGGAGTTTCATTTGAAAAAATAAAGTTGATCTTGAAATAACTTTGAAAAAGCCACCGAATCAGAAATAAATAATGCTGTTATGTTTGCTCCCCAAAACCAAACAACTTTTGTTTCAAACTTTCTTTTCAAAAATGCGTTGTTTTCGAGATATTTAAATGTTTCAATTTAAAAAACACTGTATATTACGTAAAACATCCTTCCAATGTTATCTACCTACAAAAGATAAGAAATATGTCGTCCGATCGCGAATAAAAACTAAAATATCTTTTTTTTCGTGATATCTTTAACGATTCTTGCTTGCATAATCGAAAATGTGGAATGTATGTACATTGGTGTGTAAAGGTTTAGCATTTCAAATATTATAATAAAACACTATGGATAAAAGTTTTTAATATTTTTAGTCTTATTATTAGAAATTTTCAATTACAATGAAAGAGATATAGTATATTGTACTTAGTGAATAAATGAATATCAATATTGCTAAAAAAGAAAAACTTTATATCAATATTGCTAAAAAAGAAAAACTTTATATCAACTTTATATAACATCAAATAATATATTCGCAATTCTTTTAGATAAGTTTTACATACGCAAAATTTTTGTACCTTTTAAATAAACAGTATTTTAAATAAAAAGATTTCTTTAAATTACGATCAATTATATTAAGTGTCATTTCAAGTATTCTTCAAAAAGTGTTAACTTAATTATATTAAGTCATTAATCATTAGATAATAAATTGACGACAAAACCAAAAGAAACTTTCGATAGCCACCGAAATTGAAAATTCGATTTACTAAAAAATTTAGCCATGTAAAGTAAAACATCTTCAATTTTCTTTATTCTTAATCGAATTCAAATATTTCCTCTATTCTAAAATTTCATCTTGATTTCTATTCTTCCAATAACATGCACAAGATAAAAAGAAATGTTATTATACAACACTCTGCCTTTCACTCACTTTCACTAACGTGGTCACGTAATAGAATTCATTCGCAAAATTTTACAATAAGCCGATACAAACTCCAAATAATAATTTTGCGCACTCAATATTGAAAAACTAAAACATTATTTATGTTCTTATTAGTTCTTATATCTTATGTTATTAATTTGTATCATTTGTTTGCAAAAAAAAAAAAAAAATAGAGAGAGTTGT